TTTAGTTCAAGTCACAACTACTCAGCATCCTACTTCTTTAAAATGTTAAACGGTAACTTGTAACTAGAATTTATGACTACAACGTGAACTTGAACAATACAATTCACTCAACACTGAATGCTAGATAACACCATAGTGTTTACTTCCTGATAATCAATTATTGTTACTGCTACATTTATTTATTTAAAATAGAATTTTCGATAATGTCCTTTCGTCTAGTTGGCTATGTGTATTCTGTGATTCGAAGGGATTCAAAACAAATATCAATTGGGTTTTTTGTGCTTTTAAACTGTACTCGAGAGGACCACGATAGTAAATAGGTAACATACATAATGAGGGTTTCATTGATTTTTAATTTTATAATATTGATCAGAGTGGCTTCCAGGAAACTAACATGAACAGAAAAATGCATTTGTAGGTGGGTTACAAATTGATTGATAGGATTCAATACTACGAGGTAGATCTGTATTGCATTCATTGATCAGTACGAGTAGATTAATCCTACATTAGGCCGGTAGCAGCATATATAGTTCAGTGGTAACACCCCAAGGAGTGATAATGAAGGGCGCGCACTCGAAACCCGCAGAGAACATCAGACTCCCGAACATTTCAGAACCACCTTGCTAACATGTGATAATTAGCCCGAAGGGTAGATTTGAGGTTCTAGCTACCGGTTTTACTCAACCACTTGGCACCAGTGGATCTGGATTTTAACGTTTATCATGAAAAATCAAGAGTGGATTATCTAGACTAACTCTGCATTGGGTGTGAAAAAATTCTGATATTGAACGGGGGCAAAATTAACAATCATAAGTGAAACTTAGTTCTGAAACACCTTCTGTTGTGAACTTTTATGAAAACCACACCGGAATTCCGTGTTCTGACCGATATCGTAACAAAAAGTGCACACAGTACACATGGAAAAATGCTTTGTTTAACCGATACTCTAAGGAATAACAGAATAAGTCTATAAATCATTCATTCATGTTTGAATAAATTTAAGTTAAATAAAAACCGTTTTGGGATCATGGTGATCCGTTAAAATGTCAGTGTTCGATGTCTGCAAGACGTTTTTAACATTTGCTGTGTTTATTAAGTCCTTCTTCGTCACTAATATGCTTTTGATTTTGAAGCCAATTCTTATTACGGAACGACGTTAGCTGGTGAACTGTTGGATAACGAAGGAACACAAACGGCATTTGTTTTAATCTTTGTTTGGGAATCATCAGAAGCACCATCTTCACAATGAATATGAATCTACTACGTCTTCACTTATTATTGTGAATATTAATGTATTGAAACCATTATTTTAGAATCCAGTTACCCATGTTCACTTAATTTCAGATCTGTCACTACTTTTATTCAACCATGTTTCGATAAGTTGTTTATTGTTTACAGTTGATTGATTACTGAGTAGTGACTAATATCCTGTTTGTCTAGTCATTCAATTCTGATCGGATTCGATCAATCACGCAGTACTGCAGACACTAGTTTAAATAACTCAACACCACATACAATGCTTTGAGACGTTAGGCGGTTAGAGGTAATTGGTAGAAAACACTCAACAAAGTGTGCCTGGAATCTCGAGGGAACTGATGCTTTCTCCATGATTCGAGACCCATTCACTCAACTTCACATTCTGAGACGTAACCAATAACTTGTTCAGACCGCAACTGACCTCATATAGGTATCTTGCCAACCACTCAATGGTTACTGTCTTCCTTGAAAGCCATCAAACCTCATTGATTCTCTAGTTAATATCGTTCAGTAATAAAGGCTAATAGTAAATTAATTCATTCAATAATTATTCGCTAATTTATTTTGTAGAATATCATCAGAATCATTGCCTTTTTTATAGCCAAATGAGTTATATATTCTTGAAGATTTAAGATATTTCTTATTTGAATCTCAAATTTTCAACTTTTATACCCAACATTAATAGGATGATTATGCAACAGATGATTTTTTTTTAAATCCAAGGGTAAGCATTGTACCGAAAAATATAGATCTTCAATGTCCAGTTACTATTTGATTCAAGTCAATGCACGAGAATAGACTCACATTTATTTTATTTTTCTTGAAATTATAATAACACATCATCACTTTTACAAAATTAACGATATTGAATTTCAGTCATCCAATTACTGGTTTGATTAATTTATTTTCAAAATTATTTGTGCATTTGTGTAATTTAAAACATTATTTATTTATTGTGCAGGAACAAACAATATTCGTCAATGTGTGTGTGAAGAAGAGAGCATACAGATTTAAACTGAAGTTATTTACAATGTTTTTGATATTCATTAAATGTGTTATACACAACACCAATCATTTATAGGTTCATTTACCGTGTAAGTACCGGATATTAGCATTATTTCTATTACATAATTCACTTTATAGTCTAATGTTTGAAAAGGCTGTTGCTATGTCAAGCCCACATAAGTTATTCTAGCCTCTGGACAGATCAATCCATTGGTTCTTCTCAAGCCACATTTTTACCGTCACTTATTCGCATATTAATCCTGTTTTTTTATATGATCGTGTGTGTGTTAATTACTTACCCTACTCATTATGTGTCTGTAACCTATCTTTGTTCGACTATAAACGTCGATTAACGCTTGGTTAAATAGAGTTGGTTCACTCACCTTCTCCATTGAGCGTCATTCCGTTTTGCGTTGCTTTCCGATCGGCGATTGTACGAAATATACGTACTCAAAAATCCATTATCGTATCTGAATTATTTAATTCCGTTATTCACCAACGCAAGTCGATGATTATATACGAGAGTAGCCAAGATGTATATTTCGACAGCAATCATTCGATAAAGACCATTCTACCGATCTAACTGGTATCAGACATAGGGCAACTAAAATATTTACTATATTCGTGCCTTTCAACCAGTATATCGGACTGAGCTACTTTGGACATGTTCATAACAGACAACTGAGGGTAACTCCAGTCACTTGAGTATTTTTAGTGGGAATTTCACTAATATGTAGTGCTTGTTCATTAAATGAACGGAAAAGTGACCAAGAGCGCTGGGTACCACACGCGACTAGTGAACGTTGACAAATTTATAGATAAACACATACCAGGATGCACATCTGAATACATTTATGATGAGTACTGGTTACACAACTAATAATACTGCTTTATTAGTAAGAAATCAATGGTCATATTAGTTATGAAATAACTCTATTCGACTATTAGATATACAACCTTTCCCTATGTATTCTTTTAAATTAGAATTATATTGCTTAAATATTATTAACATTACCATTCATATATTTTTGTCATCATTAATTTAGCTAATATATGGTTAAATTAATCAGAACTCAATCCATCTTACTAATTCTTAACGATCTTTTATCACTTTATACATTACAAGATTTCTGACCAAGTAATTGGTTTGATTTGTTTAAACACGTTAAATCTTATAATTTAGTCGAATTTGAAACTAAAGTAATTGCTAATTACGAACAATCGAAATTATTTGAATGATAATGGGTTCTGTTCCCCACTCTATAATACGGCGACGGGCATACACAACTCTTTAACAACTATCCCCATAGACAAAACCCCATGCAGAAGACGAGAGTATAAAGAAACACTGATATTCAAAAAGACCAAAATGAAGTAGAGGAATTTTGTGTAAATAGGAATGAGATACGGTCTGAGGACACGAAGGAAATTTAGCAAACTAGAAATGTTAATAGCCAACCTAAGTGAAACCTCAGAATAACAAATAAGACACAATACATGTTATTAAACACAGGTAATAGGCACATTTGTTTACCCATTGAAGTGATGCCATCTTTGTGCTGAAAGATGTTATTTTACAATTCACTTGATGTATAAACTTTTAGTATTGCGCATTTGTTAACGTGGTATTTACAAATTTACTTTAATAACGATCCTAAATTCCATATGCTATAATTTTGGGAAGATACGTTTGTTGAGTTATTCCTTTGAATCGTTTGCTAAAACTTATGACTGTAGGAATTAATGTGTCTGTATCCGATGCTCGAACCTAGTATCCCATAACGTAAAAATGAACATAATATCGAATGGTCTTGGGTCCTGATATTTTTGAGCATATCAGAAAACAGCGAATGCTTGATTTAAAATACCCTACCCCAGCATAACAAGATGAACACCAATTCCACAGAAGCAGTTACTTCAATGGTAGTAATATATGGAAGGAAGATTGCATATAAGCATATGATACAGGGAGAAAGAATTTGTTCGTAGGAAACACATACAGTACTTTCGATTTAAGGGAATACAGAGTGTATACACCTACACCATTGTGATCGGTTCCGAGCTATATCACCTAGTCTCCAACCACCGGTTACAACAGCCGCACGGACCCCAACCAAGTAGTCTGCATCTACCAACATGGCTCGGATCGGAAGTTTGTGACTTTATGGGCTGATGCCACATTTTCGTTTGGCCGCCACTAACTTTCTTCTGTCTGTCTCCAACACTAGTCAGCAATGTGCGCCGTGCTAGTCAGTGGTTGGGCATGAGTAATACGTGGCCCAACCATCTCAGTTGACGAAGACTCACAACCTCATCAACTGACTTACCATCAGTCCCTAACACTACGTCTAACCTCATTGTTACTTACCCGGTGATCCAACTAGATGCTGGCAATATTTCTAAGGCATCTGTGGTCAAATACTGGTAACTTACAGGCATCTTCTACTCTCAATGACCGCGTTTCGCATCTGTAAAGTAAAATAAAACGAACTGATGAGCAGTATACTCGTCCCTTAATTGATAGACGGATATCTCGTCTTCGCCATAAGTGACGTACTTTGGCAAAAGTCAAACGAGCTACTTGAAACCGTACAAAGATTTCGTCAGACACCAACCCATTAATGCTGATCAGACTTCCAAGATAAATGAAGTTGTCGACGCGTTCGATTACTTCACTTCCTATTCTCACTTCAAGTTTTGACACAGGCCAGCCTGAAGCAACAATTTCCATCTACAGTGGGAGAAACGCATCTCAAATATCTTGGCATTATTACTCGGTGCTAACAGAGGACTCACACGGAAGTAAATCAATGTCATCCTGGACAAAGTATAATACTAAAAAAAAAACAACATTACACTGAGTAATTTCCATATTGAATTAAAACGGAGGTAAAATCCGAATTGCAATGGGTTAAAAATGCAGTTTCGCCTTTCTATCCTGTAATGTCATCTTCCCTTCTCGATAATACGTCTGATTTCCCAAAAACCTATTTGATAAAAAATAGTCCAATTAAAATTACAACCAAAATAGATTTTTTTCCATTGAAGCCTCATTTCATTCATATGAAGAATGTGATGAAAAATTAAAACAGAACTATTATAGGGCGCCTTTTTGGAAATGTTTCATAGCACCTCAAGAAAATGAGTTACACGATCTCTGAGACTATAAACCGGGGAGCAGTGACTAACTTACAGTCTTCACTTCTATACAACTACTCGTCATTGCATGGCAACGTGTCATCAATCAGTTACCACTTCGCTTTTACGTCCAGTATGAGCATCGGCAAACAGTGCGCGGTATAGAGGCAGCTGTATTGACGTCTATAAGATGTACGACTCATCTCAAGTTCCAAGATGGTTACACCATTTAAATTATTATCACTGTATCCAAATATATGTTGCTAGATCGCTGCGCCGATTATACGGTGTCACAATTGAATTTGAACACCCCGTATTTGAAAGGATAAAAGCATAGTGAATCTAGCTGCTGTTGAGCAACCTGCGATTAACATAATCTAGGATATATCATACTGTCACTAAGAAAACAGCCTGGAAGGCAATTGTTTAGAAAGTAGAAATAGTACTCCTCTACTTTACGTAAGCGTAGCTTATACAAAAACAAGAAAACAAATTTAAAACAATCATTACGCTACCAATACTTTATTTTATTCCAATATGTCTAAAAAATTTAAGGAAATACTGTACAATCAGGGGTATGATGCCAATTATCAACCATCCTCCCTCCCCAACCAAAAAGAGACCGCTAATCACAAACAATTAGCCATTTCAAGTATCGCATAGCCAAAAAGAGTAATCACATGTAATTTTATGTTGGAACACATTGACCAAATCGTCAGAAGCACAATGCAAGGTAGGCAGTAAACTTCGTATACCTTTCGACTGTAAATTAACTGATTGATAGACATGACGGTTTGGGTCGAAAAATTCCAACAAATCTGGTTCAGGTTCATCCTAAAAAACATTAATGAAAATCATTATGATTATAAGAATGATAGTAATAATAATAAACAGCCAAAAACATCTCTTTATTTTGATAAAACTTTGGTGTAGTAAAATGAGGGATGCGTGAAAACCCTGGAGACACTACTTTAGAAAATGTATATATAATAATATAGATGAGACCATATTTAAAGATAATACTTTTCACCATACAATGATAGCCTAAAAGTTGTTTCGTCCCGGTGAAGGACTCCTCAGCAGTGTAATATATTCAAGACCTCAGGATTATCCTCAGATTTTGTGTCGAATACAGCAGACTCAAACTACTTCGTTGGAACCCAAAATAATCGATATATTTAAATTCGAACCCACGCCCTTTCGGACTGGTGATTTCAACCCCGTTACAACTTGGCTAAATAGCGTTTTGACATTTTAGCTGTCATTTCGTGATGAAAACCCTGAATCGAATTCCTAACCCTATTCATCAGCTGTAAATGATAATCCCGACTCTTCACACTGGTTTATAACCCTCATTTAGCCCTATCAAGTAGGTAGACATTCTCTAGGTCACTTTAGCATCGCTCAAAGGTCGTCCATAAATCAGTCTCACTGAATATGATTTCAAAAAACAGAGGACGATTTTAAAAATAAAAAAAATGTGAAATAATACTAAAAATAAGAATCTGTAGGAAGCTAAAGAATGTATCTTTGTCTATGATAAGTCTTGCTAATTGAACGCTATACTCGGATCCTAAGCTAGTCTCGTAACCCCCAAGCTAAACGTACACAGCAACTTGAACACGAGAGAAAAGACGCAAAATATGTGAGAAGCACTTGACTCCAAAGGTCCATTCATGTACAGAAAATAAGGGGTTTTTATAGTATTTTAGAAGTTCTTGGGTTTTCCTGAAAATTCTAGAATGCTACTAAACATAGTAACAGCGTGGTAATCAGCCAATCAGAAACTCTACATGTGACTTTTCATTTTCGTGATGTTTTCTGGCAAAACTCCTAGTGAACACTTATTGAATAAAATCCTTCTTAGTGTTTCCTGAGCCTTTCTTGTCTTTTGTGAGAAATTTTCTGGATAACCCCAACAGTCTAAAAAATAAATTGTTACCACAGTGGCTGAATATCATTTTCAACCATCGATTAGGATTATCGCACAGACATCAACCAAGTGGTCTGTACCTCTCCAAACAGTTTTATTGGATCTAATATAATTTTAGATGGATTTTCCAAACACATTTCTAGGCTACTGTACGCGGAAGCTTGATATGGTCATAGTCAAAACAGGAAAACTAAGAACAGCCGACAAATTATACCTTTTTCGAAAACACGAATTAGTACAACTGATATGAAAATGTGAAATGGAACAGTTCATTAGCGACCAGTAGTAGGAACACAAAATAAAACAACGAAAGAATTAGTCGTATTTATGAAAAACGTACAATTTCGTAATTGTTAGTCAAATAAAGAATGGTCAGTCCGAGATTACACTGTGTCTAAGTGGTGGGTTTTTAACTGGGATATATATTATTTGTTGATTCGTTCCTATGGATCGAAGTTGACATTTATTTCCAAAACACCCACTACTTTCGCAGTTGGCAATCATCGTTGTTTAACTATATGATTCTACGATCAAACAAAAATTTCATACATCCCAGATAATTCTTTCAGTTGTAATCTTCATCTACAAAATCTTGATTTGTCTGTCAACTTCGTAGATTGCCTGTTAGATAATAGGCCTTGGTGACTGATTTCTGGTTGCAATGACGTCATTGATAAGGACTAAAACACTTGGTTAAGTATCTCTGCACATTTAGCCACTTAAATCTTACTTGAAGAACAGCTAAATACTCCTGTTTTCTCTGTTACCTATTGAACAAACTCGCTAATCATGCTTGATTATAAGAGATACAACCAAAGGATTCAAAAGGTTCGTAAGTAATAGGATAGTGGTAACTACATATGAGCTATCTATTCGAAACCAATAGAAATACGTTAGGAGTAAAATGAATCTTGAAGATTTCGTGTAACGTGGACTATCACTAAATGATAAAAATAAGGTAAGGGCATGACTACAAGGACCGAAATTTCTGAGTGAAAAAACGATATGAGATCTCTAATAATCCGTATTTCTTTGCAAAGACTACTAAGCAAGTGTATGATCTTGATATGTGCTTTATGTACGTGGAAGTGAACCATAATCAAGTCTGTAAATAAAAGTGTCTGGTGGGAAATATAATCGGGTACTTATTGTCAAGAAGTTGAGGACGGTAATTGTAACCGTCCACTTACATAAATGATATTGTCCAACTTTAATAAATCAAGATTCTTTAATTATCTTTGGCGGGTTAGATTTTTATTTCAGCAATGTCATGAGTTGTCATTATTAAGCGACTCAGTTTAAGACTAACCACCACCCTCAGAGCTGAGTAGCCTACACACATTAAGAACAATATCATCAATACGAAACACGCTAAAACTGGCCTTACTCCCAAAAATACTGAGAGAAAATAATCAAACTTACAACTTTGACATTTTGTTTCCTATTCGCTTCAAGCAATCGTTTACGCTGGGCTGCAATTCGTTGACGCTCCAAACGTACTATTTCCGATTCATCCACTGTCAAATCTATAAGATTTTCATACGTAGATACATTTTCAGGTACATTAACAGTGATTCTTGGATTGAGAATTAAAGGATTGATTGAATTATCTCCAGCGGGAAGAGTATTGCAAGCTTCATTTACAATACGTTCCGCTTCTAAGCGTATCTCGTCAGTGTAATGCTTAATGACAGAGAAAAATACACTACTGTTTTTTATTCAAAGGTTAGCATCACGATGAAGTTTAGTGGACAATAATAAATGTTTGAACTTACAAACTATCATGCTAGTGAATTATCAGTGAATTAATGCTAAAACATTTTCATAATGCCTAATATGCCTTGATGTCTCCGGGAGGAAGGAGGACAAATTATTGCTCAAACATAATGTCCTCCACTCAGTAACGTTTTATAAAGATGATAGTGAAAAAGTGGACGGCTGTTATCAAATACCGTTTTATCACTCGTCTGGTCTGGATTTCAGAAACGATGTACATCATTAAATTCACTTAGTATTGTTTGGTTGAATCTTCCCATTGATGTTTTTGGACTGCAACTGGTCAGTCTCTAATTGGCATATGTGCATACTGTTCTTATTGCCTCGATATTGCCTTAATTCACAAGCATGGTAAGCAGAGATGGATAGTGACTAGCAGTGGAATCCAGTTTGACGCGCGTTTCGTCCTATCTGGGACTCGTCAGCTGGATGCACCTGCATCTCGGAGTTGATGTTCACTCTGGGACTCGAACCCAGTACCTTTCGCTTCAACCGCCATCGCGTTATCCACTCGGCCACTGAGTCCTGATAGCCACTTGCTTGTGCAATGGGGTGAAGTTTAAATTCACTTAGTATTGTTTGGTTGAATCTTCCCATTGATGTTTTTGGACTGCAACTGGTCCAGCTGACGAGTCCAAATAGGACGAAACGCGCGTCCTGGACTCCACTGCTAGCCACTATCCATCTTTGATGTACATCATTGGTTAAGTTTTTTTAAAATATTTATCCAACATTTAAGGAACACTTTCAGTGTGCGACGGTAACGAGTGGGAAGAGCTATAAATACTCAGGTGTGTAGGATGACTTCAAGAGGCGAAGTAGACTATGTACACCAAGCCATACTACAGAATATAAGATAGGTTAGATCTAGTGGGCAAGTAGTGTAAATGATACTGAGGTCCTGAAACTTCTGTTCAGGTACATTGAACACGAAAATTCTGTTGGTGATATCATTTTATAATACTGGCTTTTGTGGATTGATCACACTTTCCAAATGTCATACTATACTGCATATTATTTTTCGACTTTTAGAATGAGTAGAAAAGTAGAGATGTTCAGATTACGACATGGTAGGCTAGAATGAAACACTTTCTTTAATAAGCACTCGTTAAAAATTTCTGGGGTCGGATCCTAAGAACCATAGATTTCAGTAGGGATTATGCTATGATTTTCTATTTTTTATCTTCATAAACGGTAAGATGTATATCCTAACGCTAAAGGAGATCTACATTGCCTTTAAACTCTGGATGCACTTTTTAAATACATATCGTTATTTCGATTCATTTATATTTTTGGCATGATTTGTCACCTTTTCATCTCTTCATAACACATTTTGTTTTGCATAGAACATGTATTTGGTACTCTATTATACCGAGCTTTCTTTCTAGGCAACAATAAATAAATAAATAAGCCAATAGCCAATGCGAAATTATCTTCAAAAAAGAAGTAAACAGTAATCAAAAATTAAGCTTTTAATATAGGAAAATAAAAAGGGCAACATATCATTAGAAAACCTCCCATTTCATCCTAACATTGTTCAATTGATAATACCACTGTTGGTTAGCGATGCTTTAAAAGTAGGGGATCACAAGGGATCGATCATAACCACTTTGAACTTTATTCCGGTTAACATTTTTACTGGTGAATATTAGAATAAAGTATGTAGTATTCACAGAATGTTGATGGACAAAGAAATATTTCATTGGGTTTGTAATTCCCGAAATTAAGCAAACACCAACGGATATTTTCATATTTACACTAAAATTCGTCACTGTTACATTTTTAAATCTGTCACATACAAAGTACATGAAGTATTTGACAGTTTACACACGATGTTTAGAAGAATACATTCAACTTGTCTTACTACTTAGCATGAGATTTCTGAAGTGTCAATCAAATAGTGTCTGGCATGAAAAAAAATATTCATTGAAATGTAAGTTACAGATGGATAATTCCTTTGGGTTTCTCAAGAAGGGAGTAAAATACTAAGAGGGGATTTCATTAACTGACTGGATGAGCGCGTGTAATAATCGGCCAATTTTTCCGAGTGAGAACACATAATGCACAAAGAACTTGATCCAGTTAGATAAAGAGACTAGTAAAATGTAGTTAGGAACATACGTGCCATTCTATATCTTTCATTTCTTATGCACAAGTTTTCGCTCTTTTACTTTTGGCCGACGTTTAACGCTGTTCCGGAACATAGCTACTACCTTGAAGTGGTGGTTGTGAAAACGCAACCGTTCTATACCGGCCAGAAAATTTATTTCTTCATCAATCCCTGGCTGCCAAGACTATGCCCAGCCCAGTGTTCCTTTCAGCGTTCTGAAGAGGCAGTACCATCTCATAGTACGACTAACCGAGAAAGATAGCCACCTTTTATAAGCACTTGAGGCCACCTCAATCACAGTTGGAACTAATCATTATAACCTAATATTTTTTCTCTGACTAGTTTACTATCGTTGTGAACATTAAGGTTTAACTCCGTATTTTTGTTTTTTAAATCAACCACACTTTATGTCGTTGTATAGTGTGATAGTTAAGGGGGATACATATTTTGGATAGATTTTATGTTATTTAAGTTTGTGTTATGGATACATTCAAATTTATTAGTTGATATAACGTGATAGACCATCATGTTGAAATCTAGCTAACTGGGACTATCAGACTGCTTGAAACAAAAAAACGGATAAAACATAATCCCATGTAATAGTGTACTGCATAAAAGTAAGGTTTTCGATTATATTCAAATACCTATTACTTGCTTATTGTGTACAGTGAACAAATATATCACGCAGACATTTTGGAGTTATTCAAGCCTTAATTAATATTATCCACACTAATATGGAAAAACTATTTTAAAGTTATATATGAATCAGAAATAAGCAGGTTGGATCATTTTGTCACCATATTAACGGTATAAATTAAGTAACATTCTAATCGACTAAAACTATTGTACTTATCTCATTTCATACGATCAGCAGGCTACTTTGTACAGTTACATTATAATTAACTGGAGCACAAAATGAGAAACTTACCTCTTTGGAAGCATTATTGACTTTCCTAGATAGGGATTTGATCTCCTGTTCTAACACTTTCGTTGTATTGAAGACTGGTTGTGAGAAATTTAGAGTCGCATCTCCTGGATTGCAAAAAGAAGTTGTATTTGAATCCAGAAAACTTAAATCTGTCAGACTTGACAAAGACAGACTTTCGGAATGAGTAAAAGAATAGGTGGGTAGTTCTCTGGGATCTTGGTCACTTGAACTCTTCGCATCTGAAGGACAGTTTTTGGAACTATATACAGGACCACAGGATGGTAACGGCTGCTGAGGGAGGTGATCGGTAGTTTTGAGGAATGAAACACTTTGACAGCTGCCTTTAAGGTGACATTCAGTATCCACAGAAAGGTTACACATTTTATTGACATTATTTTCCATTGCCTCAGATACATCATAAAGTGTTTGTTTACAATAAAATTGGTTTTGTGTAAGCGCATTATCTGGTGGGTAACGATTTCGCAATATGGAAATGGAGTCCGAATTACCAAAAGATGATGTGATATTGGTCAATTCATCGAAACCAGTTTCAGTAAAATCCAAAGACATTTTGTCAGCTAGATGATCAAAGGAATTTGTGATAACATTTGGGCGGAATCTAACCTGCATGAATCGTTTCTCAAATTTTACCAGTTTGTTACCTGCTTAGATGGACTAGGAAGTTCATCTGACAAATCCTTCCTTAGTGTGCGACCGGCAAACCTTGGGTATGCATCAACATCTGAACTGTCTAAAGACGAATTGGTAAGTTGATTAACATCTGACATTATTGTAACTGATTGCAATGAGACATTATTGTGTACCCATTATGTGGTGAATATTAGAATTTGTTCGTTCTAAAGTATTTAAAAATATAACTCGTCTAAAGAACAGTGAGGAAAATCAAGATCGAAATCGTATAGATTATGATGTGTTTTCTCCGTGAAATTCGAAATCGATGCATTGAGAATGTTCGTGTTTACAATCAAACTGACCGAATAAAACTAGCTTAAAAGCTCCAAAGATATCCCAAGTTTATGTTTATTTTTATAGATTGGAAAATGTTCTCAAAAGAATGGTTTATCGAGGTAAATGTTTCTATGAATACGGCTTCAGGGTTTGAACAATAATGTAGACTATTGCGTTGGCAATGAACGGCTCGTTATGGGCTTATCTACATGCACAGTAAAATTTAGCTTTAAGCAACGTACGTATTTCGCGTAAAAATGCATAGGGCGTGTTGTTGCACATTAGAATATTGTAAGTACTAATACGTTACACTATATTTAAGAGCATTTATCTACCTAGAATAGAAATCCATGACGATTCGCTGATCAGTTTATCAAAAACTAATAGCTAGTTGTTCCAAGTAATCATGAAACAATTAAGGCCATTTGCAATCCATCCAGATCTAGAAGCATTGTTTTGTGCAGTACGATATTTGTTGGTTTTTCAAAGCTATTTTACGTGCTTGAAGAAATATCTTTTGGTAAAAGCATGATATACTGACGATCTTGAGTGACCTGTCACCTAATCAGGAAACGACACCTAGTTACAAAACAATAACAGCAAAAAACAATACTAGAAGTGCAATAATAACTTTGATCTTGATAATCAACCTTTAAATGCCGATTTTCCAAAGGAAAAGAACAAAGGTTGAATTTTACAAATTAGCGGTGGAGCTAATGTTGTGAGATGGGACAAACACTCCATAGCTTTTGTCACCAACTCACGATAATGAGAAAGGGTTGGGTTTATGTGTTAGTGGTTAAGCTGATGTTCTGGGCAACTATCATTTATGGACCAGCCAATCAGAAGTACTTGGGGGATCTCAAGGTTACGGCGCCAATTTCAGCACATGGTGCTCATGTACAATCGGTTCACAGGGGATTTTAGAGAAGGTGTGACAATTAAGCCGCTACAATAAATGAGACTATTAAGAAGTTACTTTATTTTTAATTACGGTAATCAAATGACTTATAGACCTTGTGCAGACTACCGTGATGTTGTCCTTTGAATGCACTGCCAACACAATATGATCACAATAATGACACAAGTGTCAGAGTATATGCAAAAGGTAACATGAGACAAAGTTTTCAACATAATTTCAAACATTAACTGAAATAATTCAAGTTAAAGTAGACCAAGAATGATTTTGATGCAACAAATACACTATATATATATATATATATATATATATATATATATATATGTTGGAAGAAGACGTCTGCTAGTAAAGTCCCCCAGGGTACAGTTTTGGGGCCAGTGTTATTCCTCCTGTACGTAAATGACCTCCCTCATCTACTATCATCATCGGTCTTACTCTATGCTGATGATGTCAAAATATATGGAGAGCGATACAAAGTAAGGGCGATAGCTTAGAACTTTAAAATGACCTGGAGATTATCTGAATGGTCCCAAACCTGGCAATTGCCGATAAACACTTCCAAGTGTATTGTGATGCATATTGGCCACCAGGGTACAGATACATACATGATGAATAACTCTGAGCTACCTACTGTCCAGGCACACAATGACTTAGGAGTCATCGTTAGTCAAGACTTAAAGACTACTGAACACTGCCGTGCAATAGCCGCCAAAGGTTTTAGGACTTTATGGTCCATACGCAGGGCTTTTAGGCATCTTGACGCTAAAACGTTTCTGACTTTGTATACAGTGTTCGTACGCCCTAAACTTGAGTACTGCATACAAGCAGCTAGCCCCTGTCCAAAAAAGACAATGAACTCTTGGAAAGGGTTTAGAGAACAGCAACTAGGCTGATTCCCGGAATAGCGAAGCTCCCGTATGGTACTAGACTGACCAAGCTAAACCTATTTCCGCTGTCATATAGAAGAATCAGAGGCGACTTGATTACAGTTTTCAAGTTGCTTAATGACAAATTTGCACCTGATAAGCCCCCATTTTTTTGTCTTCCAAAACAGAAAATCTACGAGGACACTCCAAAAAAGTTCACAAGCCCAGAACGAATTACTTGTCAGCTAACTACCGACTTTCCCATCGAATCATCAACGAGTGGAATTCATTACCTCAGCACGTGGTTGAGGCTCCATCCGTCGACCCCTTCAAAAGAAAGTTGTATCAACTGAGAGACCATCATTGCCAGGACTAACACAGGCCATCAAGCCTCCTGTCCTTTCCAAACTGAAACTGAAAAGGAACTTTTCTCGTTTGATCCAGCTTCAGACTAAGGCAAATTATAATTGCCGCAAACTGTATGAAGAAGCGCCAGTAACATTAGCTGCAATATTCGCAGATGTTACTGAAACTTCAGCTGTTCAGTGTTGTGAGTATTGTAGGGACATATGCGTAAAAGGATGACAAACTTACACAACCGGAGTACACACAAACAATACTGAAGCTATGTGGTTAACTAAAAATCGTCAGTATATAATTATTTCGTCATATCTCTCAATCGCTTTTAAAAGCGATAATAATAATTATAGTAATAATTATTACGCAAATCTTGTGGCCTTGATAACTGTGCAGTTGTCGTTAGTTGTCACAAAAAATCCTCTTTATTACTGAGTTTGAAACATTTTTCAGTTTGAGAAAGTAGTAGATTTACTATTATTTTGAATGTTATTCTTACTGATATATCCCTATGACCTTGGCGCTACGTCACATGCAAATTCCCGCAATGTTTTAGTTAACACAATCGACCTCATTCTAATTATAAACGAATGAATTTTATAAAGTCACTTTAATATGTTGGAAGAGTTGTTGAATAATTCAGCTAAAAAGTTATGGGTTGTTAAAGCCATTGTAGTGAAGGAGATATCTGATTCAATGACATGTTTTTGTGTCTATAACTCCCATTGAGCAGTTTGGTCATAGGACCAGTCCCTCAAAACATACCAAATCATATGGATACTGAAGTCATATAACCAATTTTTCAAATGATTCCACTTGCGTCCCTGCTGAAGATACCACTAGTATTGTAGTTTGACAACACTTTACCAGTACCACAAATAATTGGATCGCGCCTACCCAGTGAAATCAAAAGCAAGAAGCAAGGAGGTTGAAAGATATATTTGATGAGTTATCAATGTATCGATGAGTGACTGATCTAATCAGGCTAGTGGTCGCAGGAGATGTTGCACATACCGTTCCAAAACGTGATCTGGTACGGACGCATGACCGAGCGCCTTCAGCTAAATGCGTCCACTAAAACGAATGTGATCAGCATCCAATGTCGAACACTTACAAACCTATTGATTCCGGGGAATTATTTACAGCCACAGATCACTCCCCTCCCTAGTGAGGTAGTGATGACTCCACCACATGGCCAGCCAGAAGTTTAAACCAAACGAGTTTGCGTTGGTAAACACTCTTATGATAGCTCGCTATGTTAAGCAGCGTCTGGTCATCCTTCCTTACTATAACAGGCCATGAAATACAGTATAGTAATCGGGAAACAAAGTACAATTGAAATCTCGGCTTTTCATAAACTTCATCGTTCTTTCCCAGCTGTTCTGGAAAAGAAAAATTAGAATGTGTAAATGCATGCCGAAATACACTCGTACTTGCGTAAAGACACAAAGTAAGCGAAAAAAGGTAAATGAACTAATACGTATGCGACAGCGTAAAAGCGATTCAAAAAATTGTTTAAAAAAAAAATTCAAATATACTCCTTTCAGTTAAGAAAATATTTTTTGGAATAAATATATAAGTATGAGCACATTCAAGTTTATTTTCAGACGCTGACGAAGTATCGACGTGCGTGTCGGCTGTCGGATGAGGTACTACAAGTGTAGGAGCAATATCGTTCGATTGTACTGAAGGGAAATCGACATGGATAGAATTTCCTTCTGAATGCGCTGTTTTGATTCGATCGATACTGATGCTATCGCTAATGCCATTCTTAACGACAATATTGTACTTAGGTTCATGCTGAAGCACTTTGAAGGGTCCTTCGTATGCTGACACGAGAGGTCGTCGATGTGAGTCTCGACGAACGAAGACATATGTACTATATCGTAAGTCAGGTTGAAGGAAAACATCAGTTGATCAAGGTCGTTCGGAAGCGATTGATTTCTAATAGTGTGGTCAGACAACGGAAAAGTCCAGATTCGAACTGGCGCCAACGGTGTGTGTGATGGTTGAAGGGCAGCCGAAATTTGTTAACCGTCGTTCCACAAAGGCACGGGCCACTGTTTTAGCAGTAATGTCTTTGACAGGTACTGCTTCTGGCCATCGAGTGAAACGGTCTACACAGGTTAAAAGATAAGAGTATCCATTTGAATCTGGTAAGGGTCCTACTAAATCCAGATGAACATAGTCGAAACGAACACCAGTGTTTTGAAAGAGCCTAAGGGACATTTGTTGTCTAATCATCTAAGATTTATGGCAGCTTACACAGGAGCGTGCCCACTCCCTCACGTCTTTATTCATACCAGGCCAGCAAAACCGTTCTGCTATAGGCTTGATGGATGCATGAACACCTGGATGAGAGTGTTTGTGCAACGTATTGAAGACTTCGCTTCGATAATGTTTGGGCACAATTGGACCATCCCTACCTGATGATATGTCACATTGTTAGGTTTCTTTACCTGTTGTAAGATCCATTTTGAAGGTTTCGTGTGAAAATCCCTCCATGCGTACATTTGCAACTTGTTCTTAATGGTTTCTTTAGTTGTACATTTTTGTTAGTCTTTTTTGTGCCAATTGAGATTGTAATGTTTCATTTCGTAACAGTTTTAGCATTTTCGCTTTCGCTTTCACTGAGTTTCTATGTTTGTTTCTGAACTGTATGTATGTTGTTTTAGTTGATATTTAATCTTGGCGGCAGCTATATTGATTGTTCCCTCTTTGATTGTGTTGCTTGATTTGACTGGGATCGTGCATTTCGTTGTGAATTGAAGCACTTTCCCAGAATTGAAGACAATTTGTGTTATAAGGCAACAAAATGTTGTCTTTTGAACGAATTTTTACTTGATCTATCCAGAAAGGAAAGAATAACACTTATTTTTTGGCGCGTCCGCTAATTCTCTTTTATTTCTTATCAATTTGCCTATTTATTGTAATTTAGATCGATTATTGTGGGAACAGTTATTGGTTGAATAACTGAGTGGTAATATTTGTTTAGGTAAAACTGTACATTTGTATTTATGATGAAATTTAGAACCGTTGTTACCTCAATCACCTTGTTCTGACTTCCATTGGGATAAACGAGTGTCTTCCCTTACCAGACAGTTATTCTTTAGCCAAACCTAGTTTGGATCTTATATAGACTTAGTATAAACAGTTCACGCTCAGTCATTAGGAATCCACAATTTATAATTGACGATTTATCGTCTCTGATTAACGGATCACAACATCCAAAAATGAAAAGTCTGCAATCACCAATACTTGAAATTAAAACTTTGGTGGGCATAATCATAGCATCAGGATACAATGACTTCAACTTCTCAGCCGAAATGATGAACTTGATACAGCCAGTGTTAATGATAAAATTGTGCAATACACCTCTGGACAGATGTAATCGTTTTTGAGTATGGAGAGAACTATTAAAAGTTGTAAATGAGGATAGTGTATGAATATTAGAATCATCCAAATTAATAGAATCGAAATTACAAAGCTTAGTATTGCTTGCTGCGAAATGAACAGTAGCCTTACAAACTGACTGGATGCGTCCAATTTTACGACACTTAATCATATAGCATGACGAAGTACACATGAACTATAAGAGTGAAATTTACCGCAGGACAGACATTTATCAAATTAGTACTCACCTTCGTGAACCCCTTTGCGATTCCACAGTGAATTGTTATTTGCATGACATTGAGCAGGCATTGAATTGTTATAACTTAGTGTTGTAGTGGAATTCTTGTTTTCCTGGAAGTCATTTTCATGCACCACTCACAACTAATACACGTAATCCTAGCATCTTGAAAACAACGCTTTGGCATTTTTGTGAGCCCTCTTTCTAGATTTGGTATGTTAATCTCTGCAATCAATTGATCACGCATCTGGACATAAAGTTGATCACCAAACATACACTGGAAAGCTTGCTTCCTCAATTCAACGATGAAATTTCTAGCCTTTTTTGTCTTAGAGAATCATTTCACGGATTTTCGCTCTTTTACGTCATTTGAAACTAACATACTTTACATGATTTAATGGGAGTTTTTGAATGTACATCCAAATGTTCGAACACAGGTTCCATCGCGACGCCGACATGATGATTAGAGGTATCCGAACTAATATGCTAAATAGGAAGTCCCGAAACAGCGCAATTTTCAACAAATGGAACTATGGGGCGTGCTACTTATGTCGACAGGTATGAGTAGTGTTTTACATCAATAAAAAGTGGAACGCCTAGCAGTAGAAGGTTGGAAAGATCCAATCAAAGAGAACAGGAACAGAGAGCACTTGTAATAGCAATGAAGGAAAATTGAGACAACTGACGGAAGATTTGCAAACGAAGTATTAAATGTATGGTTTTCACTTTTTACGAAATAGATCTGTACTTTCGTGCTAAGTGGGTTGTCATCACCTGCGTTCTCGTTCATTACAGAACCAGAAGACTGCAAACAAATGTATTTTATTTGTAATTCGAAGTTGGCGGACAGTCAAGTACAAAGTAATTAGTATTTTATACAAGCACCACATATTTGTATCGATTGATGATTCCTTTGTACTTAATTGTCCGTTGATTACGAATCCCAAATATGATACATTTATTTGTCTTCATTTAGTTCTACCTTTCTTAGAGTGTACTATTTCGGAAATTATTATTTGGCACATTAATTCGAATACTTCCAATTATCGTATTTGGGTCACAATGGAGTCAAATCTTGGACAGCTGGATATTTATTCAAGTGGGGATGACTTTGAAGATTACATAGAGAGGTTCGAAATCTGGTGTATGACTAGAAAAGATAATAAATTGTGATAATTAGATGTATTTGAGTTATAGTACAAACTAGGTATCTTAGGAATAGTGCAATTTAACGAAGAAGTATTACATGAGCATAAATGAATATATTGCATTTGAAATTCGAAATCAAGCAGAACCATGAACAATAAGATTGTAGTGACCTAATTTTGTGAAGAGAAGGCGATCGGCATAATGGAAACAATTATTTTTATAATCGACTGTACCAGTGATAGTTTTACTGTACTCATTTGCTTATGTGTACCAAAAAACACACTTTCCCGTACATTTTGTGACCATGCACGAACTCTCGTACGCTCAGTATAACACAAAGGGCGTGATTCCGTAAATATATTAGTAAGAATGAATACAGAGATGTTAGCGAGAACATAACTGGAGAACAACTTAGACCAAATGGAAGGAAGTTATATTTGAACAGACAAAAAAGAGTGTTAATTGTTGTCAAAATAAGTGAAGATTGATCTAAAGGGATTTTATGATAAGCATCTTTTAAGTCAACTTTCGAAAACACTTTAGAACCATGAAGTAAATTTAGAATATCTTCAGCCTCTGCCGTCGTGCACGTTTGCTTTGACAAACGGGAGTTCAGTGTTAATCTATGATCACCACATACTCTATGGCGCTTGTAATCCGACTTCAATGGCGTAACAATATGAGTGCCCTATGCTGAGGACTCAGCTGGTTCAATTATACCTTTCGCACACAAATCGTCCAATGTCTTATGTACTGCTTCCCGAAGACCAGAAGCAATTAGTCGTCTATTAAGAAAGACTGGATCACCCTGTACTTGAAGTTTTGTAGACTGGATTTTCATACTTCCACTACACTTAGCACACGCAGCCACCAAACCTTTAAGTAAAGCATCATTATTTTATTTCGAAACTAGTAAAGACCACTATAAGCATTTTCAAATTTTTTAAGCCAATTAATTGAAAGTCCTGTTTCCCTAACTAAAAATTCACAAAGAGTGTATGAGGAATTATCATCTCTTATTAGCAATTCATAGTATCCTCGTATGATGCAGTCTGTGTCCAGTAATCCCCAATATTGAGACTTCAATGGGTCTGTAGTGAGTATTGCAAATACGGATAACCAGTTTGTAGTGGATGTCGAGTCGAGGACGGACTATGATAACCACTACTATTCGATTACGCGCCCACAAACGACTTGGTTCCTTTGATAACTCGTAAATCAGAAGGCTTTATTAATCCAGATCAAGTATATTTATTGGCAATCTCGTGGTATTGAAATAATACCGAGACGTGCCAAAGGGTACAGGCGAAATGGGCAGTGCGTGAGCAAGTTCGAACCAAACAAGGCGGATAGCGAAACAAGAAGTGAATCTAATACAGTTAAACAAATACAGTAAACCAATTAAACAATTGGTTACAATAATAATAATTGTTTCTGTTATTCCAATCGTATTCTTATCGAGACTGGCCGGTCACTACAAGTCATACTATAACGTTAGAATCTAAAGATTTAAAGTTCTTGAATTAAATAATGGACTCTATACTACCTGTGTCCACATTAAGTCATGAAATGAACCAAGGGATGTATATAATCGCCTTTGAATATGAACATTACCTTTCGAAACAGTGGATAAAGATAAATGGTCATTGGGAACAGCCGAATTATTGGGATCTAAATCACAAAAATTAGTAATGCTTGAAGCAAATTTAACCGTAGATTTGCATACTGACTGAATGTGTCCTATCTTGCCACATTTAAAACATTTAGCTCTACGAAATGCACATGAATTACAAGAATGAAATTTCCCACAGGATAAACATTTACCAAACTTGCTCTTACCTTTATTGTTTGCTTCGCAATTCGTTTTTAAATGACCTTTCATGTTTTCACAAGAATACGAATCACTGTTAAACGAACTCAAGTTCAATCGACACTAGGACTGTATTTCACCATGAAGACTAAGCAAGGTATTAGTAATTTTAACCTACTGGATAACAAGTTCATTCACTGTTTCATAGATAGGTTAGGACAGTGACAGTTCGTACTAACAAGGGGTCGGTTAGGAGGGATATACGTAAGGTATGTCTCCTTGAAGGTTCCTATTAGTTGCTTGTTATATCGATGTAGGCAGGTCGGCTAGGCGTACTGTTGTAAGTCCTACTCCTCCCTTTAGTGAGGATTATATTATAAGGTGAACCATGACATAAGACATCGATGTGGCTTGTGTAGTATGGAGGGATTTTGCGGGCCGGTATATAATCCATTTGAACGTTTCGTGTGTGAAAATCCCTCCATACATATATCCATAGCTTCTTCTCAATGTTTTTGTTGTTTGAACATTATTGTTAGTATTTTTTGATACTATTTTGTATTGTGGTGTTTCGTTTCATGTTAGTTTGCTCTGTTTCTTCTGTTGCTTTCATTGGGTTTCTATATTCTTCTTGAACTGTATACAATTTGTTTTAATGGCTATTATTATACGGCTACCATATTGACTGCTCGCTCTTTGATTGTGCGGTTTGATTTTAACTGGGATCGTGCATTTTTGGTGGCAATTTGGAGCCGCTCAAACGGAATCTTACTTGATCTATCCAGAAAGGATAGAATAACGCTTGCCTTTTGGTGTTTTCGATTGAATATTTTGATTTCAACTGAAACGAGTCTCCAAACTTTTACTAAATTTATTCAACCACATTCAGACCTATTGGAATTTAGGTTTGGATATAAAAGTTCTAAACAAATATCCTTTGGTCGGTTTCTTGGCTATCGTGTTGTGCATTTCAATCTTGATCCCCTGAAATTTGGTCGCTTCTTTCGAGATGACAAAACTTCGTCCAAAGAAGATTATTTCCAAGCTCAATGGTGCTGATGGACCCAAATTAATCAGCGAATCCCTTTGTACAAAGCAAGTGCCTTCTGATGTCTTTATGTCTTATGGTTCAGATACAGTTAGGGCTAATCATAATGATAGTGATTCTGGTTGTGAGTTAATTGCAGATGAGCTAGAAAATTTTAGTTTAGACAATAAGCGAAGGTCTAAGTATTCTCTCTCAAATAGACACTCTTCTAGACCAATGAATTCAGAAGGAAGGACTCATGGGTTAGATTATTCCAGAACTATATGTGTAGGAAACATTGCATCTAAGTTAAGTACCGATGTTGTTGAACAACTTTTGTACCGAAAACTAGGAAAGTATGGAGATCTTTCTATTAATGTTGGGCATTTGTGTGGTAAACGCGTCGCTCTGGTTAGCTACCGATATTCTGAAGACGCACATGAAGCGCTCCGTTATAGCCCAACAATATACATATTTGATCGTCCTGCAAATGTTACCTCATTAATTGATATTTCTAATGAAGGTGATACGCGTAAAGTAATTGCCAGCGAAAAACGTCAAGAAGGAATGGAAGCTGAAGACAATAATGTCTGACGACATTATTTGCACAATATCACTGGCAAAGAAGAGTCCATTTCCCCCCATTTTTTACCTAAACCAGCTCTACAAGGTCCATCAGGTACTACAAGCTTACTTGGTATGCCTGGAAGGGCATCTTCTGCCATGATGGCTGCTGCTGCAAAGGCTCTTAGTCTGAATGTTATCCCCGGGGTGTTGCCACCAACACAGTTAAATGCAATCACTTCTCACCATCATTATGGCTCTGCAAACCTTCGACACTGTGAAAATAACAAAAGTGCGTTCTCTCCTGGAGCATCCGATTCAGAAAAAGATTCTAAAGCTACAAGTACTTTATTTGTTGGAAGTTTAGAACCAGATATAACGAAAAAAGAGGTACTCTCAGCTTTTGAGAGGTATGGTTATGTTGAACAAACTAATAATAAGTGTTCTCCGAAACCTGGTGCTCTTTCTTATGCATCTGTACGCTTTCAAAATGTTGATATGTCCAGTCGTGCGAAAATGTCCATGTCTGGTCGTTTTATTAGATCCCTACATTGCAAAAAAGGTTATGGTAAGGCGATCCCATCGCACTGGCTGTAAATTGGTGGATTAGAATCGTGGACTTCCACTGATTCACTACCGCATGTGCTCTCTCGTTTCGGACAACTAACTTATCATGATTGGTCTCCTAGACGAAAGTATGCAATCGCCGTTTATGACAGCTGTGAATCAGCACTCGAAGCTAATAGACAATTGAAAAAATTGGCCGATCTTGAGTGGTGGATTGAATGCCCTACTTTACTGAATGCCGAGTTCGGTAGAACTATTACCGATTGTCCACAAACTATTCCTGACAATATTGATTACAGAAAAACTGCTGTGTTAATTTGAGCACAGTGAATTATGGCAAGCTTCCTATTATTTCTTATTACTCTGACTGGTTAAGATTAGTCAGGGCAGTAGCATGGTTAAGAAGGTTCATCGAATATTGGATGATACTTCGTTCATCGAGTCGCGAAGGATCTGTTCATTTAGGATACCTGAAGGTCGAAGAGCTCGAAAGTGCTAGGCGTAAGGTCTTAATGATAGTCCAGAAAGAGGTCTATGGAAGTTTACTCAGTAAATTTAAGAACAACATTAAGGTAAATAGTCATAATGATCTGAAGCGTTTATCGCCTATAATGCTCAATGGGTTGCTATGTGTGGGAGGTCGTCTAAACTACTCCGATTACCCTAATGCCTTCAAGCATCCAGTAATTTTACCTAGTCGTCACTTAGTGATAGAAATGATAATCAAACATTATCATAAGGATGAGGGACACTCAGGAACTTCTCAAGTACTTGCCGCAATTCGAAAACACTATTGGATAGTAAAAGGGACCAGCACGGTCAGGAGAGTGATAGGTAAGTGTGTAATTTGTCGACGATATACAACGAACTCAGGACGACAATTGATGGCGCCGCTTCCTGCATGTAGAGTGAAACCAGGCTGGCATAGTTTCGCAGCTGTAGGAGTTGACTACTTTGGACGTATTTTAGTGAAAAAATGCAGGTCACTAGAAAAAAGGTATGTGTGTATTTTCACTTCTTTGCAGACACGTGCAGTGCATATTGAAATGACTTATAGTTTGAATACTGATTCATTCGTGATGGCCCTGTTACCTTTTATTGGAAGAAGAGGGAAGCCCTCGGAAATTTACAGTGATAACCGGTCAAACTTCGTGGGTGAAATCTCTGAACTAAGGAGATTCGTTCGACAGTGAGATCAACAAAAGATAAGTAATGAATTATCAGCGAGACAGATTCAATGGTATTTTAACCCTCCGTCATCCAGCCACAGAGGAGGAGTGTGGGAAAGAATGATAAGGTCTGTTCGTAGATTATTATTATTGATCACCAGGGAACAAAGGATGACTGATGAGACCTTGGGCACCTATTTGGTTGAAGTTGAAAGGATATTGAACCATCGATCATTAACCCCGATTGTACAGGATGCTAACGACAAGCTAGCATTATCACCTAACAGTTTGCTCTTGTTGAGGGAATGCGACAGTATAGTTGACGAAAGCAGTATCAGAGTTAATTATGATAAACGTTGGAAACAGGTGAATTATCTAGCTAATGTGTTTTGGAAAAGGTGGCTGCGGGAGTATTTACCATCCTTACAAACTCGTCAAAAATGGTTGGTTGAGCGTCGCAATTTCCAGCCAGGTGATGTCGTAATTGTGGTCTCAGACATTTCCACCCGTGGAAAGTGGCCTTCAGGAGTAGTTGAAGGTTGTGAAACAAACAACGACGGAAAGGTTAGGACAGTGACAGTTCGTACTAACAAGGGGTCGGTTAGGAGGGATATACGTAAGGTATGTCTCCTTGAAGGTTCCTATTAGTTGCTTGTTATATCGATGTAGGCAGGTCGGCTAGGCGTACTGTTGTAGGTCCTACTCCTCCCTTTAGTGAGGATTATATTATAAGGTGAACCATGACATAAGACATCGATGTGGCTTGTGTAGTATGGAGGGATTTTGCGGGCCGGTATATAATCCATTTGAACGTTTCGTGTGTGAAAATCCCTCCATACATATATCCATAGCTTCTTCTCAATGTTTTTGTTGTTTGAACATTATTGTTAGTATTTTTTGATACTATTTTGTATTGTGGTGTTTCGTTTCATGTTAGTTTGCTCTGTTTCTTCTGTTGCTTTCATTGGGTTTCTATATTCTTCTTGAACTGTATACAATTTGTTTTAATGGCTATTATTATACGGCTACCATATTGACTGCTCGCTCTTTGATTGTGCGGTTTGATTTTAACTGGGATCGTGCATTTTTGGTGGTAATTTGGAGCACTTTCCCAGAAATTGAAACACTTTGTGTTATAAAACAGCCGCTCAAACGGAATCTTACTTGATCTATCCAGAAAGGATAGAATAACGCTTGCCTTTTGGTGTTTTCGATTGAATATTTTGATTTCAACTGAAACGAGTCTCCAAACTTTTACTAAATTTATTCAACCACATTCAGACCTATTGGAATTTAGGTTTGGATATAACACATGCAGTTCTAGCATGTTGAAATGAACAGTTCGGCATATGTAACAGCTCTCTTTCCAGACCTGGTATGTTAATTCTTACAAATAATTGATCTCTCAGCTACACATGAAGTTGACCATCGAGATCGCATTTGGCAGCTTGTCTTTGCAATTCAGTGATGAATTTCCCAAACTTTTAGTTATTCTGACCAATCATCTTATGGAGTTTTGCTTTCTCACGACATTCAAAACGGGTGCACTTTACATGATTTAATAGTAGTTCCTTAAGAGTTGCATAAGGGATTGAGATATGCTTACCTGGATATGCCAAAGTTTTTCACAAATTGTAGGCTCCTTTACCAATGAATGTAAGAAAATGTGCCACAATATTATCACCCTTCACACCTTTCTTGGTCATGCTCCACATCTCAAACCTTTCTAAATAATCCTCAAAAGCATCAAAATCTGAATATATGACAACCGTCCCATCACAGGCTCTATCGCGACCCCAATGTGATAACTAGAATTATTTTAGTTATAGTACAAACTAGGAATCGCAGGAATAATGCGATTTAACCAAGAGGTATTACATGAGCAAAAATGAACATATTGCATTTGAAATTCAAAATCAAGCAGTCATCAATTACAAAGGAATCGTTAGCTCATACAAACACCACATAAATATTATCAATTTACAGGTTGATTCCTGACGTTTATCGACAAAGAAGCTTATAACCTGCTAAGGAATCTGGTTTTTCCAGAGACACCAATGTCATTGTCATATGAATCTCTCAAGAAATTACCACGTCTAAAACATTTGGCATAATGAAATTCACATGAATTACGTGAGTAGTCATCCACAGGATAAGCATTTACCAAACCTTTGCTCACCTCTGTAACCTGTTTTACAATTCTTCGTTGAATCATTTTTTACATTTTCACTGGAGTGGGAACCATTATTAAACAAACGCGAGTTTGGGCGACATTGAGAATGTAGTTCATCACGACAACTAAGTAAAGTACTATTCTCCGAAATGGATTACGCTGTCACAAACATCAGAAAATCTAAAAACAATCATCTTTCAACTCATTGTGATATTACAAATCTATTATTTCTATTAAAGGTATTAAAAAATTTCACTAACTGGAAATCAAGTTCATTTACTGCTTCTTAGTTAATACATACTGTTTTAATTTCTTGGAATGAACTTTTGGATTTCCGGATTAATTCTCTTTCTAAATTCTGAATTTTTATCCCAGAAATCAACCGATCACGAAGTTGAGTTTCCAATTGGTCTCCAAAATTGAATTTCGTGACATTTTTCAAATTCAAAGTCTCTGACTTTCTGGTCATTTTCTATTTTTATTTTATGAAACTTTGATTTCTCTGTGTGCATTCAAATTTAGCACACTGCATATGACTAAGTAGAAATTTCTCGAGAGATTCATATGACAATGAAATTGGTGTCTTTGGAAAAGCCAGATTCCTCAGCAGGTTATAAGCTTCTTTGTCGATAAACGTCAGGAAACAACCTGTAAATTGACAATATTTATTATCTTTTCTAGTCATACACCAGATTTCGAACCTCTCTATGTAATCTTCAAAGTCATCCCCACTTGAATAAATATCCAGCTGTCCAAGATTTGACTCCATTGTGACCCAAATATGATAATTGGAAGTATTCGAATTAATGTGCTAAATAAGAATTTCCGAAATAGTACACTCTAAGAAAGGTAGAACTAAATGAGCACAAATGGAAATTATAAACAATGTAATAATAATAACAGTAATAGTTATAATAGTAGCAATAATAATTATTGCAATCTAACCAAAAATTGAACGAATTATCTATTAATACATATAACAAAGGAATAAACGATACACATAAGGGAAAACAAAATAATAGTCATAGGGCAAATATATATGGATGGTTTTTCTCACTATATTAGCACCGGAAGCATACAAAGTGGATCATACAACGACAGCATGATTATGAATAATCAAATAAGTTACATCTCAACAGAATAAGCTGTTGGCCAATCGTGGAGAATTTTCTAATATCTCACTCTTTTTTAAGTGTATGCTCATAATGTTGTCTGGAAGGATAGTGGAAGTTTCACTATTAAATCATCCAGCTTAAAGAACACAACAATTTCATCGTCTCATGATTTTGTAGTATTTTCGAAACTTTTGTGAATCGAAAATATTGCTTATCTTATCAAAGGCAAATTATATCTCTGGTGTATCCATTAGGTTATAGAATAGTTAAAATGAGTGAGAGTGGGTGAAAGGTTAAAACACTAGGTTTTCGATCGGCATATTGCAAAATCGAACCCCATATACCCACAATTCGCAAAAAATACTAAGATGTATATTGAATCTTGTGATAAGGAAGTATACATTTAACAAAACACCTGGTAAAATCTACAGAGTGTATTCCTGGTGTAACTCCAGGCACGTGTATTCTGTGAAAATCGACAGATAAGATCATACGCCAGATGATATACACAAAGACACACATGTATATTCAACGAAGTCAGTATTCTGGTTGTCACAGTAAGAATGGTGAATACTTTCCAATTGTCTAATGGTTTAATTATTTGTGATTATTGATTAAGAGTCATTTGCATATTTTACTCTCATTTGAAATTATTTGTATTTTATAAGCTACTTCTTTTAACAGGCTGGTAGATTAACACCCACACTGACATTGGCCCGTGTAAGAGAAAGAAATAAGCACTAGAATGAGTGTTTTTTGATCGATAAGAAAATAGTTCTGATTAATTATTAAGATGTACCTAAAATTAGAAACACTATGTGTACTAAAATACACTGCAATACTACACACTTGGGTTTAGTATTGAAATACACTAATGTACATAGAGTAGGACGGTTAAAAGGTAATCAGCTTTCAACCGATAGATTACAAGTAGAATCAACCGAAGTAACTACTTCACTTTGGAGAGTCGGGTGGTAGTACACTAGCTGTCACATGAAAAGTGTAGTTCAAGGATGAGTACACGAACAACCATTTATCTGAATTAAATAAGTTGGATAAGTTAAACGGAATAATGATCATCAATTTACTAAATCTTGATGACAAAAAATATTTCAAAATAATGGAGATGATTTATTTCTGCTTCCGTCCAATGTTTCAGATGATATTTCGTGTTCCATTGGGTTGAATAGTTGATAATCACAATGCTTACATCAAGACTTCTTGAGAACATCGCCAACGATTTCTTTAACTCAAAGTTAATATTGGTCAGAACATCAGCATAAGCTTTACAACTATAATCTATTGAGCTTAACCGGATGCAATACCAAAAAAGGAGTTTTCTACTTAATCATATCTTTTGGTCATGAAACTGACTTAGATAACAGAAGAGAAATATTTTGACACAGACTGTTAGACAAGAAAATTATGTTGAATATGAAGCTGTGAAGGTTCAACTGTCTCAATAAACTATTGTGGTATGATATAAATAAAGGTTTTCACTATAGATATCAAAGTTTCATCAGTCAGTGAAACAACCCAGTCTGCGCTCAAGCTTATTTTGAGTTCCATTCCACTTTTCTAAATAACAGATACCATAAGGAGATAAGTTGGCAGAATCAAATGAACCAGAATAGTTGGTGATCAAGGATTAAAAACGGCCAAGTGATAAAATATTGTAGGATCAAAAAATCAACTTACAGAAAAATCTGTAAATAAACCCATTATCAGTTGATTTGCTTTTATTCGTAAGGGTTTTATTTTGTCGTCTTTGATGTTAATGACGGCAATGGATCAGTCTCTATTAGGATAAGTAAATTTTGAGAGAATTTCCTTGATATTCCTAATTAGCTATAAGTTGGAGCATGTCTAAGAATGAGATCTGGGACATCTGTTTCATTCTGCTTAGGACTTGTCAACTGGACATGCCTACACACGAAGTTCAAACTGTGATACTGAAGATGAGTTAGAGAAATTTAGTAGTATATGTTTGAGGATCAATTCCTCATAGAGTTGATGAAAATTTTTGAGAATCACTTAAGCTCTTACCATATACAGAGACTCAAATTCAACTCAGTAAAGCTGGATTCAATAAAATCGAATAAACTGGGAAATATTCATGCAGTCATCGATTAGCACATTTGTCCTAATGTTTAATGGATCTAGGTGACATTTGATTTGTAAGTAAACGTGTAGTGTAGTGCTTCGTTAATCGATCGTCTCGATAACCCTTATTATATCAATCTGAACGGTGTATAATATCAGGAGACAAAGGAAAGTGGCAACTACATATTTATTGACAAATAACATAGGCTAGAAGGCAGTAAGCACATGAGTAAATGTTAGCGAGCGAAGAAAAAATAACATACATGGGAGATGGCTGGTAAGCCAACTCGTTATAAGCAAGCATTAATCAACATTTATAGTCAGACTAAAATAAATGACGGACATGTGATAGGTAGGATAAGAAGTGTGCATACACACACGCTCATATAAAAAATAGTCAAGGTCAATAAGGAAATAATTAACAAGATCAAAATATGACTCATAACGTTATAGGTGAATTGGCTTGTCCAGAAACTAGAATAAGCTATGTAGGTGTAATATAGTACACGACGTTACACTACTCCCCACAAACGAAATAGTAAGTGATTAAAGACATATTAGATTTATGTTTCCATGTCTAAGGTATAAATAATAGATAATTCAAATCGTGTTTCAGTTGTCCAGACTTTAATAATTCAAACTTTGTATTTCTGAAAACGTCATAATCATAGGAACTTTACAGATTGTTACTTTTCTATTCAATCATGCATAAAACATTGTAACTTAATTAATGAAGTTGCAGATTGAAACAAACAACAGAATGGCCAAAACAAAATGCATGAGTTAGAGATATTAAACATTGTGTTAGTAAAAGGATTCGATATTATATATATATATAAGTTTGTATCAGCCAGTCATAGTCAATTTGGAGCCAGTCACAAATATGTGTTGACCTAAGTTGTTGTATTAAAACGGTATGATGAGAGGGAATCCACAACATGAATAGTAGAACAATCGAAATAGTGTAATAGCGACGACAATGAGAGAGTAAGAATAGTTTTAAAGGACAATGACAATGTGTGCATACACGAATAATGAAATCCAGAAGATATGGTAAACACATCTGAGGCTTGTGAATGATTCTGAACCACATCATTCAACGTTCCACTCACCAATCGCGTGAATCGGTAACTTTATCCACATCTACCAATATGCCTCAGACCAACAGTTAATGACAGTATGGTATAATCCCATACTTTGATCATCCCTGGTTATATTTTAACCTACTCGTACGCTAGCAAACATTGTTCGTTGAGGAAGGCGATGGTTATATGTACTTGAGGCATGTCCCGACCACCTCAATCATTAAAGATTTACTAACTCATCAGCCGATCTTCTTAGTACCTTGTGACCAATCTCGACACTATTCACTTAATCGTTTCACGACAGAATAAGTGTTTCAAAGATACTTGTGATCGAAAATCTGTAGCCTACTTGGGTTTATATATTTTGCTACAAGTAATAAGTTAATTAAGTGAAGATTACATATACCATACCTGGGACTTACTGGTTGAAAACAGACTGTTTCAATGACTAAGCGGTCTCTGCTTTATTTATATACAGAGCAACATAACAGATAAAAAAACTATCATTTATGCATCGAGTTTTAAACATCGAATGCTTGATAGTGAAGTGAATAATTATTCACTGCTTTTGTAACTGTTCATTTCATCATACCTTATTTTGATTCGAGTTTTTACATACAAACACAAATAACAGCTGTAACTTCTGAATGTATAATCATTCACCTAGGAGTTGGTTAAAAGTGTCTTACGAAAACCATTCGATTGATTAGTAGGGGTTCGACAACCATATTAGTACATATTAATACTTTATCAGTTTAGCAAAATTTAGCTATTATCACAGTATTTTACCCATCAATCAAGTGATCTACCTTGCAGGAGTATAATTTTCGCAAGGAAACAAATCACAAAACCTTAATGTTTACGTAAACATCGACAAAACTATGAAGCGAATGAGCGAAATACGCCACTCAGCAGTTTAGTTGTAATTTTTGTTAGATCAAAGCACTTAATTTAATGATTTTGCAAACCCCACATACGCACTGAGTGACTAATTTATTTATCTCGAATACTGTTTAGTTCGATGTATCTAAATTCACCTTTTGGTTAGATAACAACTGTATTTCTTGTTTGATTAAACAGAATAAGTATTCCGTCCCGGTTACAACAGCAATTCATGATATTAAATTTGATTTAAAACATTTCAGAGAGAAATCGCGATTAGATCGTCAAAGTCAACAGTTCGAACGAAAGTATTGCACACAACAATATTGATTGACTAAAAAAACAAAGTGTAACGTGGTAACTTGGAAGCGTATCTGTTTACGGGGAATAAGTTAGATTCATAATGAGTAAATTTCAACTAACCCACCGAATTTCAGCGACAACAATGAATTTGACCTTTTAAACATTTACATCACGAACTGATTTAGGCTAGACAATAATTGAAGATTAGGTAGTGTTAGACAGCTGTTTCGTCTTATTATAGAACTCAGTAGTACACATCTACGACCTCGTCAAAGGGAATTGAACCCAGGACCTTCAGTCTCACATGCGAACGCTCAACCTCCAGACCAGAGTAAGGACCTAACGGTGTACATGTATAACCCCAATTAATCCAGGATGATACGCGGCAATTTCTTAATGCCTGAAGTAGATAACTGTCTCACATCCGACATGGTTGAATTTCAGTGATCACGAATCCTTACTAGAAATCCAGGAACGTTTGTAATTGACTTCCGGAAATTTCCCAATGGTTCGAGAAAACATCCTTCGTTTGCAAAGTATGCATATTAAATTGGGGGCTTCACATTGTTTTACTGTATTGGAGAGTGAAGATGTGAAACATACATCAAAAACTAGTGCGGGTCAGATAAATATTTGTCCCTCTTTTTCACTTCAAATAAAAAGCCCTGGTTGCGTTTCAAAACAGAGTATATATATTTATGTATATGTAACACATCACTAAGCTCTTTTATAGAACTTGCTTAACGTTTTAAAATAATGAAAAAAGCTGATAATTTATTTCATTACTTATCAAAAATCAACATGTTTAATAGGGTACGTTGATGATTTTTGGGTACAGAATAAATTTTGTTTTTAACTCATGACACGTTGTACAAAAGCTGTTGGAAGCAAAGAAAGATAAAAAAGGAAATGTAAAGATTATGTATTTTACTAATACACTGAGCAAAGAGTATATTAAATAGATGAAAATGCAATATGTATGAATTATTGATCAAAAATACAGCTCTCTCTCTCTATGTCAGTAAACTCATATTCTGAAAGTTTCGTCAAAATAATAGTTAACTACTAGTAACCATAAATGAATGAGTTTATAAAGTAAGTTATTTGATCATTTAGTTATGTTACGTTGTTGTTTAAATTTCGGTATATACGATATTACTAGAACCCTTTTGGTAAGTGGATTTTTGTAACCCATCTATACCAAACACCGTTCTGTGTATTCAACTTTGAGTCATATTTTTTATGTGAAGAGTTAGTGATTCACTTGTTGACCTAGAATACGTAGATGGTATAGTTCTATTTAGTGGAGACGCTGACAAAATGCAGGGTCTTTTGACTACCTCTAGCAACAGTGCAAGGATGTTTTGGATGAAATTTTCCATTGCCAAATGCAAAATGATGCTTCAAGACTGGTGAGTGTCATCGCCTAAATTAATGATAAAGAGTGAAGTGGTTACAAGTATTCGACCACATATGTCTTTGAAACATTGCTTGTGTAGTTCGCGACCACCAAGTATACAATGTCTGTGTTAGGAATAGAAAAACCACCAAACTGCATCGTGGAGCAAGCCGTAACTTGGAATCCTGAAGGGAAATGGAAAAGAGGAAGGCCGAAGAACACACTACGTCGGGAATTGGAAGCAAACATGAAAAGGATTGCCCAGAACAGGGTTGGATGGAGAGTGTTGGTGGCCGGTCTGTGCTTCTCCACGAAGGGTAACAGTCAGTCAGTCAGTCACAACGTAGAACTTCGTACGTACGTACATCAGTTCGAGTTGCCATACCACATTAGCACAGAGATGCAGTTGTCGATTCAAATCCCATAGTGGTAGAAGTAGTAGGAGTATAATCAGAAATCCAAAAGATTAGGGTTTGAAGAAATTATTGAAGGAGTACAGTGAAACAAATTTGGAAAGAGAAAAAGATAAAGACATGAGGAATTCAGAAGATTAGAATTTGGTAGAACACAAAGAGTGGATGCATCTTCGCCATTGCAAACGATTTTGAGCCATGTCATTCAAGGTCTCTAACCATCGGTTGCTGTCATCTCGCGAATCCCAACCAGGTAGTCTACACCTACCAACATGGCCCAGTCCACTTGTCAGTGACTTCATTGATTTGTGCCACGTTTTGATCTGGCCACCCCTAGCTTTCTTCCAACCTACTCCTACACCATGAAACATTGCACGTCGGTGGTCGGGCATACGTAACACATGTCCCAGCCATCTCAACGGATGAAGTTTCACTACTTCATCAATCGATTTGCCATCCTTACCTAGTACTCGTTTCCTAACAACTGCATTACTTACCCGGTGGTCCCAGGATATACGAGCAATGCTTCGAAGACACCTATGATCGAACACTAGTAGCCTACGAATATCCTCTACTCTTATTGGCCATGTTTCACTGCCATAATGTAGGACGGAGCGAACTGCTGCACAGTAAACCCGTCCTTTGGTTGCTAGACGGATATCTCGCCTACGCCATAAATGACGCAAGTTGGCGAAAGCTAGACGAGCCTTCTGTATCCGTGCTGAGATTTCGTCACATACCAGACCACAAGGGCTGATGAGACTCCCAAGATAAGTGAAGTGGTCTACACGCTCAACTACTTCACTCCCTATCATTAATTCAGGTGTCGCTGCAACCCAATCCTGAAGTAACATTTTGCACTTCGAGGGAGAGAATCGCATCCCAAACATGCCTGCATAGTTGCTTATAGTGGTCAAAAGACTCTGCATGTTGTCAGCGTCTTCACCGAGTAAAACTATGTCGTCGGCGTATTCTAAGTCAACAAGTGAGCCTCCTGGTAAAAGTTCAACTCCTGGAGGTTTAGCTGATGAAAGTGCTATCTCTAAAAGTATGTCAATGACAAAGTTAAACAAGAATGGGGAGAGTGGACAGCCCTGACGAACGCCACTTGTGGTAATCAGTTCTGATGACAGTTCGCCATAGGCTCTAACTCGACCAGTTGTGTTCGAGTAGAGAGCCTTTATGAAGTTAATGTACTTCTTTGGTACTCCTTTCAGTGACAAACATTGCCATAGAACCTCACGATCAACGGAGTCAAATGCCGCCTTAAGGTCAAGAAATACTACGATTGTGGGGCGTCTGAATTTGTGTCTATGTTCTAGAACCTGACGTAGGGTGAATATCTGGTCTATGCAACCACGTCCAGGTCGAAAACCAGCCTGGTTTTCTCTAGTCTGCTCTTCACGAGCTTTGGTTAGGCGACCTAGTATTATTGAAGCTAATATTTTAGACACTATATTAGTCAAACTGATCCCTCTGTGATTGTCACAAGAGGACTTTTGTCCTTTCTTATAGACTGGCACAATCAGTGATTGGGACCAGTCAGATGGAATTACGTCCAGTTCCCAGATTCTACCTAAGACCTCAGTCAATCTCACTGCTAGTACTGGACCACCATCCTTAAAAATCTCAGGGGTCAACCTGTCAGGGCCTGCTGCTCTCCCTCGCTTCAGATTTCCTATAGCTTTTTCAACCTCACAGAGGGTTGGAGGACTTACATCAATTTGCCATTCAGGACGACTGGGGATCGTGGGTAATTGAAGTGTGGCTGAAGGCCAGTTGAACTGATCCCTAAAGTGTTCTGCCCATCGATCCAATCTCCTGGATTGAGAATGAATAATATGCCCATCTTTATCTGAGATGGTTTTACTGATATTCGGGTTCCTAATACCGGTTTCTTTAACGAGTCTGAATAGCTGCCTACTGTTACCTATTGCCGCTGCAGTAATGAATAATGAATGATGAATTTTAGGAGTAGGGTATTGGGTAAAGATGGCAAATCGATTGGTGAGATAGTAAGTCTTGATTAACTGGTATGGTTTCGACATGTGCCATGCATGCCCAACCACTGACTACCTCAATGGTTAATGTTGTTTGATGTAGGAGTAGGTTGGAGGAGCTAAACCAAGATGTGACAGCGATTAATGAGGTCAGCGACAATTAGACTAAGTCATGTTAACAAGCGTAGACTACCTCATTGGGGCTCACGTGACTATTGTAACCAGTAGTTCCAGTCTTTAGGTGCATTCACTATATATAAAAAACTCCATGGTTATATATTTGTAATTCAAATTGGCGGCAATATGAAAAAGCCAAATCTGGGAAGAGTCCGCTTTGGCATCTAAATGGGATTGATGTGCACAGTATTCCCGCATAGGATGTGTATAGCACTGTTGTTTCGTTTGAAGTAACGCTTTTCAGTCTGATCATGTGTCTGCACCTGAAACCAAAATACTAGAAAAAACAAGTGCATTTTAGAGACTCCAACAAGATCAGTAGCTGCTCGAAGATTTATCTTGGAAAGATCGAAGAACGATGAATCGTTACACTTAAGAAAAATTTTACGCAACAGACCTGAATAATCGTTGGCAAATAAAGCAGTGATATATAACAACAGACAACTGTCCCGACTCATAGTCAGCACCAACAACTTGAGTTCACTCAATAATAGGATTTCTAATCTAGGCACTTTTAGATTGAAAATAAATGCAAACAATTGTGTACCAGAAAAACACGAGACTAGTATAATGATCTTGTATTTTATAAAGAAAACCATTTACCTTCATATGGTACAAGACCTTGACTATTTTCTAAACCAGATAATAATACATCCACTTCATCATCACGTAGTTTTTCACCTAATGCTGTTAGTAAATGTCTTAATTCAGCTGCACTAATTAATCCATTATCCTCTTTATCAAATACACGAAATGATTCAATAAATGTTTCTTGATCTACTTCCACTTGTTCTTTTAACAAACCATGATAAATTGGAACAAATGATTCGAAACTGATACGTTCATCTATTGGGGGAAAAAGTACAATTAGACAGAAAGAAGTACGTAATGTATTTATAACCAGTCTTTCATAAATAATCTGACACGTGTATTCGTTTAGGTTTTCACATCATATTAACATAAGATGAAATCAACCAGTCAACCTGACAACGAGGTGGAGCTGCAAAGATGAATACCAAAGTAGTAGACAGTATGATTCAAAAAGAAAGAATTAGTATCATATGAAGTACAGGATAACTTTGAAACCCAAAACCTGAAGGAAGATAGAGAATGGATGCAACTGCATCGGTGTGATAGATTTTGGGCTGTCACTCAATGTCTCTAGTCATCGGTTACAAAAATTGAGGGGACCCCAACAATGAATTCTGTCTACCAGCATGCTTCATTTCAGTCAATAGGTTCATGGACTAATGTTATGTCTTAGGGTCTGGGTACCTCTAGCTGTATTTCAATTTGCTCTTACTCCAGTTATCATTAGATGTCGAGGTAGGTGATGGCTAGGGATTTGCAGCACATGCCCAAGCTACCCCGGTCGATGAAAATCTATAGCCTATCAGACAAATTTGAGGAACAAGGTTTCAGTAAGTAACATAGTAGTTAGAAACTAAGCGCTTTCATCATTAAACCAACCAATCTAAGACAACACTTTTAATTTGAGATGGTGACGTCTAATAGTATTTAAAGATGCAAGTGAAATAATGGCAAATGTGCTTACCGTCCAAGTTAAAACAAAGGTTTTACTGTCGGTTTATGCATCAAAAGTATTGTTTTATCTTTTTTAAATAACAATGGGTAAAAATTGAAATAGACAATGCACTTTGATTACAAGGATCTATAATGAAACTACCGAGTGGTGAGTATTTTGATAAAAGAAACACTAACCAATGGAGAGAATAAAATATCCTTCAATTGACTTACTATAATTACCTCGGTAAGAAGGATACTATGAAACAACTACTTTCCCTAACACTTTTAGTGCATACTTTTTAAGCTATCTATTTGGGATGTGCAGGTGATTCTTTAGCGGTCTTAACCATTACGTATTAAGATCGCAGCAGCACGACAGAAGTGAAAGGAGTTTCATTAAGAGTAATAGGAAGAGTTATTCCTGCTAGTAGAACGTCATGCAATAAAAGATTATATTCATCAATGGTATCCTGATATAATGGGTGATTCCAAACATTTCACATGCTACTTAAATGCTACAGTGAAGTGAGAAATAGAAGTGTGAGCAGGTAGTTGTGGGAAGACGAAATATTCACCCAGACAAGGTCATTGTCTCCATATCTTGATCGAAATTGGTCATATATATATGCCCTGGTACAAATGCCCTGGTACGGCCGAGAGTGGGGAGAGTCTACTCTCCCTCTCGAAATGCTCTCATATGGCCAGCGAATATATAGCCTCTGCCAGGGAAGTCCTACTCACTGCCTTCTCGTGGCGGGGGTGTTGTTTACGAAAGTGAGAGGACGAAAAGCGAATGTCCGGCGCTATAACCGGATTGGTGGACACGGAGGGTCCACCTAGGGGAGTTGGAAAACCCTGATTCCAAACCAATGGTGCACATGGGCTCCAGTTTCCTGATGGAACGAATAGCGGAAGAACCTGTCATTGGTCAACGACTACCATGGGACTGCATCTCCTCACGATGCTCCACTGCCTTGTGGATCAGACCTTTAGGTCAAAGGCTCCGGGTGTGGCCCCCTAAGAAAACCACCTGCTTCGGTTTGGGCACCCGGGCAGTATCACAGCCCACACACAAATGAATGAAATGACGAACTCTATTGACGATTCTATTCCTGCTCATATTATAAGCAAGACAATTTACGTTATTATTATCATTATTATTATTATTACTATTATTATTATTATTATTACTTACCATATCGCTAATTCACCCCCTTTTACCCCCAATTTGTGTAACCTTACTCTTCAACTTATGCAGCAGCTCGCTCTTGGTGGAAAATCTGTCCTATTTAAACGATCTCCAGTCACTGTCTGGTTGAAAGTGAATGCTTCCACCGATAATGAATACTGAGGCAGTCTTTCTGAAACCACGCACACCGTTCAAGCTGGCTTCCTTCAACGTTCGCACACTAATGCAGATCAGACAACAGATAGGGCTGGCTATGTCTTTGGAAGGTCTTAATGTTGATGTTTGCTGTCTATCCGAGACCCGTATTCAAGACTCTAGTGAAGTACTACAAATCCGCTCTCCATCTGTCTCGAAAAGCTTGTTCCACGTGCGCTTATCCGGGGACCCTGTGGCGTCTTCGTCTGGTCTTGCTGGCGTTGGTGTCGCACTAAGCGCTAGGGCTGAGGCAGCACTAATCGATTGGTTCCCCATTAACAGTCGGTTATGTGCTGTTAGATTAGAAAGTTCCATCAAATTGAGAAGAAACCGGCGTGAGAAACGGTGTCTTTTCGTCATCTCCGCCTATGCCCCGACAGATTGCAGCCCGGATGCAATCAAGGATGAGTTTTACCATCAGTTAACAGTTCTTCTCCAGAAAGCGCGTTCGACAGATATTGTAGTACTAGCCGGAGACTTGAATGCACAGGTCGGGCGTCTAGGCACAGAAGAGAGTCGTCTAGGTGGCCGATGGGGACTTGTTGGTCGCAGGACAGATAACGGGGACCGTTTGCTGCAACTGTGCACAGACCACAACCTGTTTCTGGCCAGCACTAACTTCCGGCACAGTCATCGCCGGTGTGCCACCTGGCGTCCTCCCTCTGCATCCCAAGCCTGGACTCAGATTGATCACATCGCGATCAGCTACCGCTGGCGTGGTTGTGTACAAGACTGCCGCTCCTTTTGGAGTACCTATCTGGAGTCTGATCATGCCCTGGTCTGCGCCAATCTCACCTTACTTTTCAGTGGCCGAAGGATTGACCACCACCAACGGATTGATATTAGTAAACTGGCTGCAACTTCTGTTGCAAGTAAGTATCGAGCGGAGCTAGCCTCTAGTCTAGCTACCACCCCACCGAAAAGTATAGATGAGCATTGGTTGCATCTTCACGACGCAATGAAAATGGCGAGTAAAGCCGCTTGCGGCTTCGCGAAACGTCCCGCTTACAAGCACTGGGTTTCTTCTGGCTCCTTACAACTGATGGAAGCCCGTCGGTCTACTCCGGGTGACCGTGAGTTTGACCACAAACGAAGGCGGTTACGTAATGAAATTGGGCAAAGCTTGCGTAAGGACCGGGAAGCCTGGTGGTCGGAGCGTGCTAATGAGATGGAAGCAGCAGCTGCATCTGGTAACTGCCGGAAGCTCTTCCAACTCATCCGAGCCACTGGCAGCAAGAAGTCTGGTGTGAGTGAAACAATCTACGAGGATGACGGGATGCCAATCACTAACATCTGTCGACGTCTTGGACGATGGGCGGAATTTTTCGAAGGGCAGTTCAACTGGCCTGCTGCTCCGGCAACATCAACCAGCTTGTCCTGCCCCCCATGGCCGGTGACGACTGATCCACCAAACGAGGCGGAAGTCCGCAAGGAACTCCAACTCTTGAAGCGCTACAAATAACCTGGCCCAGATGACTTACCTCCGGCTCTTTTTAAAGATGGTGGCGACTTTCTGACTAAGGAATTGACTGTGTTGTTTGGAAAGGTTTGGGAGCAAGAAAGTGTTCCAACATCATGGAATGAGTCAATAGTCGTCCCTATCTTTAAAAAGGGTTCGCGTTGTTCCTGCAATAACTATCGGGGGATAAGTCTACTTCCGATTGCGTCCAAACTATTGGCTTCTATCATTCTTCGTAGGTTGTTTAAAACCCGAGAACGATTGACTCGCGAGGAGCAGGCTGGTTTTCGTTCTGGTCGAGGATGCATTGATCACATCTTCACCCTCCGCCAAATGTTAGAACACCGTCATACTTATCGCAGGCCAACAATCGTAGTGTTTCTTGATATCAGGGCTGCCTTCGATTCGTTGGACAGGACTGTTCTCTGGGATTGTCTATTGAAGAAGGGTGTGCCTGAGAAGTTCATTAACATCTTAAAGGCCCTGTACACGAACACCTCAGGCAGAGTGAGGGCATACAACCACCTTTCTCCCTTGTTCCATTCGAGCAGTGGGGTTAGGCAGGGTTGCCCGATCTCACCATTCCTCTTCAACCTTGCCATCGATGACATCCTGGAGACAGCTCTGATGGATGTAAGTAATGGCGGTGTGGATATGTTGCCTGGAGAACGACTTCTCGACCTTGAGTATGCGGATGATATTGTCTTACTGTGCGATAATGCCCAAGGCATGCAATCAGCACTTAATCAGTTGGCAATCAGTGTCCGCAGGTACGGCATGTGCTTTGCACCCTCCAAGTGCAAAGTACTTCTACAAGACTGGCAGGATTCTAATCCTGTACTCACCCTGGATGGTGAGCAGATCGAAGTAGTTGAGAAGTTCGTGTATCTAGGTAGTTATATAAGTGCTGGTGGTGGCGTGAGTGATGAGATTGATGCACGTATAAGGAAAGCCAGATCGGCTTATGCCAATCTGGGCCATCTTTGGCGCCTTCGTGATGTTAGTCTGGCTGTAAAAAGTCGGATCTACAAGACGTCGGTGAGAGCAGTTTTGCTCTATGCTTGTGAAACCTGGCCTCTCCGAGTTGAGGATGTTAGACGTCTCTCTGTGTTCGATCATCGTTGTCTCCGAAGGATTGCTGACATCCAGTGGCAACACCATGTTAGTAATGCAGAGGTTCGGCATCGTGTGTTCGGGCACAGAGACGATAATTCAATTGGTGTCACCATCTTGAAACACCGACTTCGGTGGCTTGGACATGTTTTACGAATGTCGTCCCAGAGACTTCCACGTCGTGCATTATTTGCCGACCCTGGGACTGGTTGGAAAAAGCGGAGAGGAGGTCAGTGTATGACATGGTGTCGTGGCATGAAAGAGAGCTGCAAAGGGCTAGCTTCTGTTGGTCCTTCACGACTCCTTGGTTGGGGTCCGAGAGATGGTGCAACACAGTGGCTAGAGACGTTATCAGATATGGCTCAGAATAGAAACCAGTGGCGATCCTGCTGCAACCTTCTTTTACTTTCTACATAAAGTATGGTTCTTACTTTCCTATTTGAAAGAGTCTTCTGGTTGTACATTTTAGTCCGCCTTATCTTTTCATCCCTTCTCTTCCTACTTTCATTATTTTGTGTGGCGCATATGTACCTGGTGCCCTTTTGTACCAATGTATATGTGTTTAAATAAATAAATATATATATATATATATATATATATATATATATATATATATATATATGACATAATTATTCAGGCTTTGGCATAAAGCTTGCTACTCACTTTTCGTATCCTTGCTTTTTGAATAGTTGGTTGGGTGAAGGGTCAGGAAATGTATGTATTATGACTGAGTCGGACTTGTATATCTTAATCGTATTTAAAGTGACAATAAATTACAAGGATGAAATGTCAAGCTGAATTATGCAAAGGGTGAATCTTAAGAAAATTCAGTGGTAACGTAGTTAGCACAAGTTGAATAAAAATTAGGGAACAATAGACTATACTGGAATCATGGATCGATCAACGTTAGACAACCCTTGAAAAACTGGAACTATTGAATGACCTATTCTTCCTAGTATAAGATTTCTCAGAAGTGAGTACCGACGACCCCGCACACGAGAACGAAACCCAGGACCTCTTTCAAATGAAATATTTCAAGATAATCTTACTTCGGCAAATATTACCAATGTAATCTTAAGTGAGTCTTAGAAATCACACATTTGAGTAATTTCTTAGAGAACTGAAATCAAGAAGTTGGTCAACACACTATCGACGATATAAATTAAGCAATGAATTAACAGAATATTATGTCCTGTCTTTTTCAAAACCAGATCACGTTATATTTAATTGCTGTGTTGGTTTGGAGATATGAGTAATTTTCGTGTTCCAGTAGATTTTCAGTGAATAAAATCGATCTCTTTGCAACCACCCGGAAAATACTTAGTTTCCTTATTGTTTCATTTAACCCCATACATAATAGGGCGGATTTTTACAAGAAATTAAAATTCGTAAAAACCCACTTGGATTGTTTTGATAGCCATATTTACCAATGTCCGACTCTGTTGGATTTAGACCCATTGCACGCACAACTTCACCGATATCTTTCGCCTCGATTTTCTCATCTCCTTTCGTGTCAAATAGTAGGAACATTTCGTGGACATCTATTTAAAAACTCTAAACTACAATAAAAACATACCGTTAAGATCCTTTTCACTTAAGTCAACCTATGATCAGTTAAAAACGAACAGAAAATGTTGAACATACCATTTTCAATGCAGTGAAATTACTTTGTAGATGAACGGGTCAGTAACAATATAGCCAATCCCCAAATGATTTGAAAAACCTGTGAACCGAAACATATAAGAAGGTAACTATAGACTGGAATTTAGTGAGCACATTAGGAACTAATTCTAAGACTGATGATAAGCGTTCTATAAAAAATGAGATGTTATAAATTCCGATACACTTGGATTGCTTTACGGGAAGTACAGGCTTTTTGGTTGGGATTTGTATGATAATTAGGTCATACACCAAACTATTTCTTGGAAATACACAGATGAACTTACCGTCGGTCTCGCGCAAACGCCTTACTTCTAGACTACTGAACTGGCGTTAATGTCTAAATTCAACCAATCCACGATATTGCAAAATAGAAGGCCTTGAGTCTGAATCCCGAGTGGGGAACCGTAGATGCGCACTGCTTAGGAGTCCCATGCTATGATGAAACGGCCATATGGCCCTTTAGGGTTTTCGACGGCAGTCTAGTGTCGATGAGATTCAACAATCTCCACAATCCCATGCTGAAAATACTTATTGACTTCGTGTATGATATGACTCAATCTTCATCGTCTTCCAAAGACAGATAAACTACCAGGACACTTTAGTGAATTTCACAAACCAAGAACCAGTAACCCGTTTACTGAATGCTAGAGTCCCCATCGAATTATCAACCAGTACTGGTTAAGATTGAGCTCGAGGTGGAACTCCTTACCTCAATATATGAAGCCCAGCCTGCTGAGGCGCCTAGAAGAGGGTTGAATAAACCGAGGGACTATAATCTCCAGAAATAGCATAAGCCGCTTATCGCCTTACCGACCCGATACTGAGACTGAAAGCGGGAATCGCTATTTAGTAGCTGATATTATTGAGGCATCAGCTACGATACTAAAGCGTCTAGTAGCCTTATATAATACTTTTAAATCAGAAGGTAAAGAAATCTGTTTCCGCTAGCAATAATATAAACAACTGTTCAACCTCTAGTTCCTACTGTATGATGAGACAGACTTCGGAATTTGTAAGACTACTCGAGTTTGGCGGTGAGTTGGGCTTGGAAGAGTGACCTGCCGCGAAACACTTAAACAACCTTATCATGAAATAAGTGTTTTCGGATAATCGGGAATTACTGATCTCAAATAGATCATTTTATCTGCTTCTATTCACGTTACCGTCAACATGTTTTGCGTCGATGTAATAAGTTTGATTTCGTGATACCTAACCACAACCTTCCTCTGAACTGCTATTAACCAACTATTTTCTTTTTACTCCCTTCTTGATGATATTGTGAGATTGCACGTCCTCGGCATAGCTGTAGTGTAGTTACTCAACTACAGTGACCCTGGTGAATACGATAGTTAATCATGAATTAGTACTTTCCCGACCGTTGCTCCTACCTTGACGTGGCGGTCTGGCTTGCTTATCGTGATGAAGCAATCGAGCTATGCTGGCTGGAACAATCGTTCCTCGAGGTCCTACCATGCCAGACAGGTCGGTTGAAGAGCGGTGAGACTAAAAGCAGCAAACCAAAGGTCCGAAGGCGAAGTCGTACTGCCGGCTGTACAGAGGTGTGACGGCAGTAAGGTGTTTCCTTCAGACAACCAGCATGACAGCGATGCTGCCTTCCCACAAGGAGGGGTGGGGTTGGAAAAGGTCGGCCCTAAAAATGCACACCTCGCCTTATCCCACGGATATCCGTCTCCGGCGGTAAGGTTTTTTTGAAGAACGGAGCTAACACAAAAACTACCCACAAAAAGGTCGTGTGTGACCGACCTCAAGCAGTTGTCCCTTGGGCACTGCGGTCACGCTCTAAAGTCATTAAGATCACTTCTAACCCAATTTCCTTTTCAGGTACCCCCAGGAGAACCCTTCCACGGTGTGGGCAACCGGGCAGTGATAACTGCCCTCATACCCCTAACAGCACTCAAGACCACCGAATTCATAATCAATCTCCTTCAATTCCTACTATTCCTTCTACCTTGACTTTCAACACTAAACTTCCTGTTCCGGTTTCCTCCTCAAGTGTCACCATGGCCAACGATTCTAGTGCGCGAAACGCTGTCCCAGGTCTACTTAAACCTCGCTCCAAACTACACATTGGAGCCTTCAACGTACGTACCCTATGCCAAATCGGTCAACAGGCCTCCTTAGCTAAAACCCTAGAATCTCGTACCATTGATGTATGCTGTGTCTCCGAAACACACATACAGGATCCCAGTGTGGTCATTCACTTGACCTCACCTCGCCAAAATGGACAGCCAACGAAATACACCCTCCGTGTATCTGGCGACCCGTTGGCTAGTTCTCGCCGACTTGCATGTGTAGGCATAGCACTAAGTACAAGGGCAGAACAGGCACTACTAGAATGGATCCCCGTTAACAGTCGCCTGTGTGTTGTCCGGCTGAATGGCTCCGTAAGAACTCGGAAGGATAGGGACACACGTCGTTGCCTTTTCGTCGTTTCTGCCTACGCTCCCACCGACTGCAGCCATGATGAAGTGAAAGATAACTTTTACAGAAAGCTCTCTGAGCTTCTTCAGAAAGCTAAGCGCTCAGACATAGTACTCATAGACGGTGACTTTAATGCCCAGGTAGGCAGCTTGAATCAAACAAAAAGACATTTAGGTGGGTGTTTTAGTATTCCGGCTCAACGAACCGATAATGGTGATCGTCTGTTGCAACTATGATCAGACAATCGTTTATTTCTAGCAAGCACTAATTTTAAACATAAGGAGAGACATCGTCTAACATGGCGACCACCTGCACCAAACCAACGATGGACCCAAATAGACCATATTGTCATCAGTCATCGTTGTAGAGGCTCAATAGAAGATTGTCGCTCGTATTGGAATACTTGTTTAGACTCTGATCACGCTTTAATACGAGCGCGCATTTGTCTGCGCCTCAATGGGCGCAGGAAAAGTACACTAAGAAGACCCATTAGGATTGAACTGGAGGACGAGAAAGCCAAATGCGAATTCCAGAAACAACTGAGTTCACATCTAGGCAGTTCTGTAAACAAGACTGACACAGATGCTGCTTGGAAAGACATACGAACAGCTGTGGAAACAGCAGTTACATCTATTAGTCATTTAAACCATAGGGCTCCAAAAAACCAGTGGATTTCCTCTAAGTCTATTTCACTGATGGATTCGCGTAAACTCATCCCATCAGGCTCTGAACATGACGAAGAGCGTAAAGAAATTAGATCTAGGTTAACTGAAAGTCTAAGGACGATCGTGAGCAGTGGTGGGCAACGAAAGCAAAAGAGATGGAAAAGGCAGCGACTGTAGGCAACACTAGGCAACTATTCAGACTAATAAAAGAAACCGGAATTAAGAAGTCAAGTGTAAGTGAGACAATCTCCGAAAAAGACGGAACCCTTATCTGCTCTCAACCCAAACGTTTAGAACGATGGGCGGAACACTTTAAGGAGCAGTTTAGCTGGCCTTCAGCTACTGCACAACTACCCACTATTCCTAGAAACCCTGAATGGAACATTGAAGTAGGCCCCCCGACCCTACTTGAAGTTCAAAAGGCTATAGGTAATCTGAAACGAGGAAGAGCAGCTGGTCCAGATGGATTGGCTCCAGAGGTCTTTAAATATGGTGGTCCGATTTTAGCGATTAGGTTGACTAATATTCTGGCTAAAATCTGGGAGACGGATGTAATCCCATCCGACTGGTCACAATCACTGATTGTCCCAATATATAAAAAGGGGTCAAAATCATCCTGCGATAACCATAGAGGGATTAGTCTGACCAACATAGCATCTAAAATACTAGCCTCAATAATTATCGGGCGCCTAACTAAGACTCGTGAACTGCAAACACGAGAAAATCAGGCTGGCTTCAGACCTAGTCGTGGCTGTATCGACCACATATTCACCATTCGTCAAGTTTTAGAGCACAGACACGCTTGTCGGCGTCCGACAATGATAGTTTTTCTTGACTTGAAAGCAGCATTTGACTCTGTAGACCGAGAGGTTCTGTGGCAGTGTCTGTCATTGAAAGGTGTACCTGAGAAGTACATAAACCTTGTGAGGGCTCTTTACTCGAACACTACCAGTCGAGTGAGAGCTTATGGCGAACTGTCATATGATTTTACAACCTCAAGTGGTGTCCGTCAAGGCTGTCCACTATCCCCATTTTTGTTTAACTTCATTATAGACCTGTTGCTGGAAATAACACTCTCTTCGACTGAATTTACAGGAATTGATCTCCTACCAGGGGGACCACTAATAGACTTAGAATACGCAGATGACATAGTCCTGTTTGGTGAAGACGCTGGCAAAATGCAGAGTCTTCTGTTGGAACTCAGTAATAATGCCAGGACGTTTGGGATGCGATTCTCCCCATTCAAATGTAAATTGTTACTCCAGGACTGGCCTGCATCAACACCTGAACTAAGGATAGGGAGTGAAGTAGTCGAACGTGTTGACAACTTCACTTATCTTGGAAGTCTGATCAGCCCTAATGGGTTGGTGTCTGACGAAATCTCAGCACGGATTCAAAAAGCTCATTTGGCTTTTGCCAACTTACGTCACCTATGGCGAAGACGAGATATCCGTCTATCAATTAAGGGACGAGTATACTGCGCATCAGTTCTCTCTGTTCTACTTTACGGCTGCGAAACATGGCCGTTAAGAGTAGAAGATACTCGTAGGTTACTAGTATTTGACCACAGATGCCTTAGAAATATTGCTCGCATCTGCTGGGATCATCGGGTAAGTAATAGTGAGGTTAGACGCAGGGTATTAGGGAACGATGGTAAATCAGTTGATGAGGTGATGAATCTTCGTCGACTGAGATGGTTGGGCCATGTGTTACGTATGCCTGAACACTGATTACCACGACGCGCTATGATGACTAGTGTAGGGGATTGTTGGAAGAGAGTTAGGGGCGGCCAAACCAAAACATGGCATCAGTGTTTGAAGTCACTAATTTGTAGTCTGAGCCATGTTGACAGATGCAGACTACCTGGTTGGGGTCCGCGTGACTATCGTAACCAATGGTTGGAGACTCTAGGTGACATGGCTGAGAATCGATCACAATTGGCGTAGGTGTATACACTCTTTATCTTCCTTTAAACCTTGAGACTAAAATTGCTTCATATCTCTCTTCCTTCCTATACTATATCCTTATATACAACCTATAATTTATATACTACTACCACCACTACATTAATTACTTCTATGAATCCGGTGTTGATCTTGTTGTGCTAACGAGGTATGGCAAGTTGGACCGATGCATAAATGTGCCTGGTCCTACGTTGTAGCTGACTGACTGACTTTTTGATCAAAATTAAGTTCTGACAATCGATTGATTACTGTGTTGTAACCAGTATCATGTATTTCAAGTCCTTCTTTGCTACCGATCTAATTCAGATGACCAAACTGCGACGTGGATGCTGTTCTAAATGGTTTGACATCACCTGAAGTATGTTGAGACATTGAGTAGTTGAAGGTATTCGTGCGAAACCCTGAACACTGTTTCGTCTTATTTTGTTCTCGTCCCCATGGTCTAACTTCAATGTTGGAGGAACTGGGGCTTTCTGGCGAATTTTACCCAGTTTCACAGTCACAGAGTTGTGATTCGCGTGTTTTACTTCGTACAGGACTGAGAGGTGCTTACTGTTGATGTTTCCGGTTGTGAATATGGGTGACACTAGACCGAACCCGACATAGGGCACCAGCTCTATTGAGACCAAAGATAACTGTTGCTAGCGAACGAAAAATAGCCAAAAATCCAGGTTCAGGGTATCTTTTGAGCCACCTCTGTCCGCCACCTTACAGTTATGTGTGTCTGTTCTATGGTAGTGGGGTTAATAGAATCATCGGTTATCGAGTTACCGAGCAAAAGATTAGATAGTTACATTTGAAATTTATCAGAAATAGTAATCACAACCCTCAGAATTAGAGTTTTGTACTAAAGATATCGAGAACGTCAAGCAAATTAGTAATAAGAATCCGGTCAACTCGAACGTTTACTCTATCTAAATTCTCCCTAAACTGTTGTATGGACCGTTTCAGAGTTTCCTATATGTTCGATGAGGCTTACCTGAGCCAAGCCAC